GGAATTTTTGAAGAAATGAAACCGAAAATTTTCTAAAAGTTCGATTTGAATATGAAATTTTTGAAAATCTGGAAATTGTCATTTTTCATTTTCTCAATTCTGGAAAAATGGTTGAAATTTCCTAAGCAATAAAGCCAAAAATAATTTCTAATGGTCGAAATCTACAACAGAATATCTTTAGGTAATTTTCAAAAAGTGCTCGAAAAATGATCAAAAAATTCATTGAAAAAATTGAGAATTTCAAATAGTTCCCTAAAAATCCTCAAAAAATCTGCGACAAGCTTATTCGAAAATTGCAACTTGTTTATGGTCCTGGTCCTAAATTTTCGAAAAATTCGGCTTCAAAATGGATTTTTTTTAAATACATATCTCGAAATCGCAAAGAACGGTGGAAAAATTCATAAATTGAAAAATCGAGATTTTTGAAAAGTTGCACACAAATCTCAAAAAACTTAGCGTGTTGACGGTCCCGGATCAAGATTTTCGAAAAATTCAGTTTGAACATGAATTTTATTTAATATCTTTAAAGTTGGAAAAACGGTCAAAAAATTCTGGAAAAAGAATTTTAACGAGCAGATTCGAAAAGCATATAAGATGGAAACGAAAATCTCTGTGTGAAAGTGATTTCTTTTAATATCGTGATTTCATTTTTATGGAAATTTTTTTCGAATTTTCAGAAAGTACCTACTCGAAAAACGGCCGAAAAATTCATAAACATTGATAAAATGAGATTTTTTTGAAAAGCTGACTAAAAATCCTTAAAAAAAATTAAAAAGTAGATTTCGACGAGCTGATTCATTCCAAAAAGATAGTATTAATGGTTTCATATTAAGATTTTAAAAATTCGGTTTGAAAATATACATTTTTTGCGAAAATTGTCGCTATTTATTTTCCGTTTTATCAATCCTCAAAAACTTTTTGGAATTTTCGAAGAAATGTAGCCGCAATTAACCTGTACAAATCTAAATTAACAAAAAAATGTCTTTAGGCAATATTCGAACGGTAATTATAACTAGAAACGTTAAAAAAATTCATATTATTGAAAAATTGGGATTTTTGAAAAGCTACCTAAAAATCATCGAAGAAATTTCGCAACTGTTGATAGTCCCGGTTCAAGATTTTTGAATAAATTCGGTTTGAAAATGGAATTTTTCTATTAAAAAAAAAAATTGAAAATATTGAAAGTTCTCCAAAACTTCTTAAAAAATTCGGAAAAATATATTTGATGTCCCTAAAGTTTGGTTTAATATTGAAATTTTCGAAAATGGTTTAAATTTTCTAAGAAATAAAGCCGAAAATAATTTCTAGTAGTTGAAATCTACAACAACATATATTTACGTAATTTAGGTAATTTTCGAAAAGCGGTCAAAAAATTCATATTTGTTATTGAAGGTACTGAAAATATTGGGAATTTCAAAAAATTACCTAAAAATTATTATTCGAAAAATGTAACTTTTTTATGGTTCTGGGCCTAAATTTTCAGAAAATTCGGTTTGAAAATTGATTTTCTAAAACATATTTCGAAAACGCCTAGAACGGTTGAAAAATTGGTAGATTGATAGCTCCGGATCACGATATTCGAAAAATTCAATTTGAAAATGATTTTTTGTTATATCTTGATGTTATTTTTCGTTTTACCGATTTTGGAAAATTTATTGGAATAATCGAAGTAACGGAACCGAAAATAACTTATCCACGTTTAAATCTACGAAAAGGGTCTTTCAATAATTTTCTAAGAGTACCTACTTGAAAAACGGTAAAAAAAAATCATCAACAAATATTGATAAATTGAGATTTTTTGAAAAGTTGACTAAAAATCCTCAAAAAATGTGAGAAATAAGTAGCTCTCGACGATCTGCTTCATACGAAAAACATAGTGTTGCAGATTAATATTTTCGAAAAATTCGGTTAAAAAAAAATTTTTTTTTATTTCGAACATTGTTACTATTTATTTAATCGATTCTGGAGAAACTATTGGAACTTTCGGAGAAATAAAGCCGAAAATGTACAAGTCGAAATCTACAAGAAAATGTCTTTATGTAAATTTTAAAAGGTGCTCCGAAACGGTCAAAAATTTCATAAGGGGCGGGGTCAACAAAATATTCAAAAAAATCTGAAAAATGGTCCAGGACCAAGTTTCCGAAAAATTAAAAAATTCGGTTTAAAAATAAAAATTATCAATATCTTGAATTTGTCACTTTTATTTTTGATGTTCCCGGATCAATTGTACATAAGCTGAAAATAACTTCTGTAAGTTGAAATATACAAAAAAGTCTTTAGGTAATTTTCGAAAGTGCTCGAACAATAAATAGTTCAAAATTCATAGAAAAATTGCGATTTTTGAAAAGTTGCTAATAAATTCCCAAAAATTTATGCCATATAGACGAACTGATTCAAAAAACAAAACGTATTAATGGTTGCGGCTCAAGATTTTCGAAAAATTCGTTTTAAAAATGAAATATTTTTACATGTCTCGAAAATTGTCATTTTTAATTTTATCAAAAGTTATTCCTGTGATAAATCGTCAATAGACTAGAAATAAACAGACCACAAGGAGCTGAAAACAGTTTTGGAAAAATTTTTAAATTGTATGTAAAATTCCATTCAGTAGTTCAAAAATCGTCAAACAGAGTAATGGAAAAGAGAAATTTGCATGTTCGCTGTTTTTTTAAATGGAAAGCTATAATAGCTATTTATGTAACAAGTACATAAACCAGGTCTTTATTAACAAACCGATTTTAGTATACGAGGGAGCGTAGCGACCGAGTCGTTAAAAAAGGCGCGTCAATAAATATTTTTGAGTAATTTAATTCACCCCTTCATAAGCTTTCAAACCACAGTTTATTTTTAAAAAATGCGACGTTGCCACATTATTCCCTATTTCTTTGATTTTATCCCAAAAAAATCGAAACAGGATAATTTTTAAAATCTGTGTTCCAATATTTTGTGGCGAGGTAAATAAAAGTGTGTGTAAAAATAAAGTTGACTCTTAATATACAAAGTGTTTATAAAAAATACATTTTTAACAATTTTAAAATATCGATATTTCTCGTTCTGTTTTGTTCTCTTTTTTTTTGTCAAATATTTTCTATTGTATTGAAAGAAAGAAAACAAAAAATAGACTAGGATACAGTAAAATAAAATGAAAGGTGTTCTATTTGAAAAAAATTAAATATCCATAGTGAAAAATTGGTAATTTTTAGTTTCTTATGAACACCTTGCCAAAAAAACTCCAGAAAATGGTGTAATGTTTTAATGTCGTAAAAAAGCCCGAGAGGGGACTAATGAACGTATGTAAAAATATTCAGACGACCGGATTGCCCAGTGAGCGCCAATTCCATTCCACCCGAGACGAATATTTCTTTAATGGGTTAGAACGGTTCAAAATCGTAATAAAATTATTTTCGGATGCTAGTAATAGTAACCATAGAACTCTTTACTTAGTTCAAATGGCTGGAATAAATATAAAAAAATAACGCGTCCTATTATTGTCATTTTTTATTAATATTATAAAACCCTAATCATAATTTGTTTCATGTCATATTATGAAAGCACAAAAAACTAATTTTTCGGTATAATGAAAATTGAAAAACCAAAGCTGGGGAGGTAGGTGGAATGATTAAAAGATTAAAATTAAAGCTAAGCGCAGTGACTGTAAAATATAATTTTACGACAAAACCTTTTACAATTTGTTTAGGTACGGAAAATTGAATATATGACAAAAATTAATATCAAGGGAGAAAACACAATTATCTAAAAATCTATTTTGCGACGAAGAATAAATGTAACAAAAATACAACGAAGCACAATTTAAAAACAATTTTGTTTCGATTAGCTAATTTTATTGTTTACACTTGTCACTGCTTTCGAAGATTCTCAGCAACAGCAATACTATACCAATTAGCAACGCACGTGCCAACTTTAGCGGCACTAAATCAAGCGTTAGAAGCACTTTATGTGAAATAAATCGATGTAGTTTTAAAATAAAACCAGATAGATGGACGTTGTAGGTGGATAATAACAAAATCCAAAGGTTTTCTCTGCGTGATTTACATATTCTATAAGCCACTTTGAAAACCGAAACAGGCGAGACGTGGGGTCCCTTTTTACATAGATCCCGTAACTTGACAGACATATTGGGTTGAAAGGATTCCTCGTCCTAGACATAAATTCTATACATTTGATTACTTAATTTGTATTTCCGCGTCGTTGTGTTTTACAATGCTCTTTAGCAATTTTGTGTTCTTATATACTTTTGTAGCTTATTATTTTTAAAATGATAGCGAAGCTTTTTTGATTTATAGTTGGAGAACAAATCTGGATGTAGAGAGACCGAACAGACAAATGGTTAGCAAGCACGTAAACATGCTCAGGGGATCTGAACACGTGATGATCCGTTGAAATTTCCATATCGAACATTTTATCTCACTGTAGTACCTTCCCGGTGGGGTTTTCATAGTGAAGCAGTTTTTGGATAATTTTTTTAAAAAAGAAATACGGCGTGGAGCAACAGAGTTAGTGGAAATTTAAAAGTGTGCCAAATTATAGAGTTAACCCAGTTCGAAAGCTTTGTCCAAGTTGAGTAAATTAAAGCTGTACGGGTAATAAAGTTCCTCTCGAGAATAAAAATCCCCTCACTTTAAAAATATTAATTTCTTTGGAAACTTTCCCAACGACAGTGAGGCACTGGAATTATCCGTGTCTAACCCTTTCCCCAACGCGGAACATCTGGCTTTCCTCTCCCCATCCAATCCTCTTCCCCAATTACCCCAAATCATAATTTCTTAGCACCCCCATAATGGGGGTCCGTTTAGCGACTTTGATCGTTCCGCAGCGCGCCAACCAACCGCCGTCGGTATCGATTGGGGTGAAAAGTGGGTGAGCAAAACCAACTAAGTCCCAGATTAAAAGGTAAAAATTCCATTGGCATTTTAAGCGGTCTGCCATCATCCAAACAAAGGCCGCTATCGATCTTAAGACTCCGAAACTCCGCTACATACCTCATCGTCGAAGTGATCGTGATCTGCCATGTCTCTAACCTAGCGCTTAAGGACAAGTTAACATCTTCTGGATCTCGGACCGCCGAAGAGCTTTGAGGACCATCTCACACCAGCAGACCCATGAGTCAAGACAGAATCTGGAAAAGCGAAAACTTTTACGGATTTGCCAAGTTTGGAAGGTTTGTCGGTGGTGCCTCACAGCGATTTTTGGCACTCGACTACAGAAGTGTGGGCGAGAAGGCGCCGGTGGTGTCTGCCGCCTCCGGCTTTTTGGCACCCGGGCGACTTACCCTCGTTATCACTCTTGTGGGGTGTATCGGAGGCGTCGCGACGCGTCTTTCCCTATCGACGACGCTGCCAGAACTGGTCAGAGCCCGGGTAAGACGAGCGCGTGCGCATTTCCGCATTGTTTATTATTTCATTTCTTCACATGTCTAATAAACCTGGACTTGGAGGACTATGAATAGACTCTTTGTGGTAGACAGGGCCGGTTCTAATGATTGTTTTAATGATCCAGAGACGCACTCGGCGGAGTTTTTGCGTGCCTCGGGCGCGTTTGACTTGCTTGTGTAAGTGTTAAATTAAAAGGTCTTGTCGTGACGCTTTTCCCTTTGCTCGAATTTATTAAAGCAGTTTATTAGCGGCTCAAATTGGGAAAATTCGCTGTGGCGAAGGGATAATTATTAATTTTCTTCACGTCTTGAGGTTCACGGTGACGTGTTATGCTCGCCTGTTGTGGTAATTGAAAATTCTACAAGAGGCGGGAGGGGGCGACGTTTTCGCTTTAGTGGCGTGCCAAGAAAACATAAAGTATTGGAAATTGGAACGTTTAAAATTATTTTGACGTGGGTTTATTGCTCCGAAAAAATTTCGTCAAAGGCATGACTAACTCGGTTTGCGCTTGATTTACACTCGATTTACATGGCGTTTTTACAATTCCGAACTTCAAGAATCGCGGAGATTTGAATCTTTTTTTACTTCCCGAGCATAAGCAAACGAAGTATTGTAGTCCGATCTTTCATGACCCCTAGAAGACGTCTGTCAGTCCGTCTGTCCGTCTGTCTGCCGTCCCGGATTTTTATTAGACAGATAATCTCCGAAAGTAGTGGACCGATTGTTGTGAAATTTTGTATTTATATTAGGAATATCATGTAGATGGTAAAACGCTGATCAAAATTTGCTTAATCATCCCCACCAATAATGGGATGATCACTTCAAAATTGAATATAATAAATGGGTTTTAGATTGTATTAAATAACATAGTCCTATACATGTAGTTTACGACTCCGTATTGACTTTTTAACCGAAACATCCAGATTTTTGAAAAAAAAAATCCACTTTCGTTCGTGTTCACAGTACCAACACAACATATTTTCACTTATATTTATAATTAATAAATTAGAAATTCGCGAAAATAAGCCAAATCGGAGCACCGATATTGCTGCCATCAGACCGAAATTTAAACAGAACACAAGGGGCCGAAAAATGTGACTTTGTTCAGGTAGCTCACATTAACTTAATAATATTTAAACAAATTGCTTTGTTTTTAATACCATCGTGTTTTTAGTAAAACGATTTTAAGTTTGATTATCATATAGGGTAAATGTGTACAAGAGTACGCACTTAGTGTAAAACTGTCAACAACTTTTTAATTTTTTTGGATAGACAAATTTTATGATATGGGTTCGTTATAAACATGTTTAGAGATCAGATATATTTAATTGTACGCCCCAACACCACTATATTTTAAGAGTAATTTCAATTTTTGTCAAGATGTGTAAATGCGCACTGTTAGACAGTTCATTGCACAAGAGTGCGCATTTGAACGCTTATGAGTACGCATTACATTTTATGAAAAAATATTTGTTTCTAAGGTGAAAATAAATGGGAATAAGTGACTACAGACTACACATAAAACGGGAGACCTATTTCTTTGTACTCTAGGGGTCTTGAAAAGACGAGAAAACGTAAAAATAGAAAGTCGGTCGACGGACTCGATTACAACACGCTCAGGAAGTAAAAATAAAAAAAAATCACCATAACCACCACCCCACAACTCGAGAAGCAGTACAAAGTAGTAGAGTTAAATAATTCATTACCGTATGATATGTATCTCCAAGACTATTAGACTACATATTGCAAGCAATGCGCACGCTTATACAATACCTCGCTGCGCACTCTTGTACATTTGTACATAACCTAATGTTTTCAAAGTTAAAAGCTTTTGATGGACAGAAAGTGTAAAACTGTTAGTGTATAACGACACCTTAAAAGTTACAACTAATGAAAATTATTACTGTAAAATAAAAGAACTGGTACGTACCTTACAAAAAACTAAAACTATGAGCGGTAAAAATTACATCCACACAACGTGTGAACATAAAATCGTCAGTACGACCAAACTATAAACTATATTCAGGTCACTTTTGCACCTTTATCTCAGGTTTAACATTAAATTCTGAATGGTATAACTTCATCTTACCCAGATGGCACTAATAAGCAGAAATCATCAGTGCGTACTCTTATACATATGCGCACTCTTGTACACATTTACCCTATTAATAGTTACTTACCATATTTGAGCATTATAAATGATATTAATTATGTCTAAATTTTATTTAATCGTATCCTGAAAATGTATAGCTTTGATTGACGAACGTAAATCGTTTCGAAAATTTCCCCAAAATTTAAACTTTGTCGAGGAAACAAATCACGGAACCTGATAAATTAAAACTGAAGTCCTTCTTACCCCGTTTTCAGTCCTTTTCCGAAAAATATCCATTTTTTTTCGTGTTCAGAGCACCGACGTAACACATTTTCACTAATATTTATTAAAAATAAATTAGAAATCCGCGAAATTGCTCTACTTGTAAGCCAAACCGGAGCTCCATTGTTGGTGCCCTCAGAGCGAAATCTAAACTGAACACAAGGGGCCGAAAATGCGACCTTTGAACAGGTAGTTCACGTGACAGTGACGTCATCGAAGGTCACGGTGAGATTGCAAAAATTATTTTTCATATCTTGGCCGGCAAATTGCACATTTTCGGGGTTAATTTAATAATATTTAAACAAATTGCTTTATTTTTAGTAACTTTGTGTTTTTAAGAAAACGGTGTTCGATTTAATTATCATATATTAATACGTATGGTATTTAAACATTATAAATAATATTAATTACGTTTAAATATTATTTAAATATATCGTGAAAATTTATAGCTTTGATCGACCAACTTAAATCGTTTCGAAAATTTCCCCAAAATTTAAACTTTGTCGAGTAAACGAATCACGGAACTTGACAAAATAAAACTGAAGTCGTACTTACCCTGTTTTCGGTCCTTTTCGGAAAAATATTCATTTTCTTCCGTGTTCACAGCCATAACACAACACATTTTCCCTAATATTTGATAATAATAAATTAGAAATTCGCGAAATTGCTCTATTTTTACGAAAAACGACGCGACGATCTTGTCGCCGTCAAACAGAAAATAAAACTGAACACAATGGACTGAAAACGTGACCTTTGGAAGTTTGGACAGGTAGCTCACGTGACAGTGACGTCATCGCACGTCACGATGAGATTGCAAAAATTATTTTTTATATTTTGGCGGGGAAATTGCACATTTTCAGGGTTAACTTAACAATATTTAAACAAATTGCTTTGTTTTTAATACCGATCAACTTCAACCGTTTCGAAATTTTTTCCAAAATTTAAACATTGTCGAGTAAAGGAATCACGGAACTTGATAAATTAAAATTGAAATCGTACTTCCCCGTTTTCGGTCCTTTTCTGAAAAATATCCATTTTCTTTCGTGTTCACAGTACTAACACAACACATTTTCACTAACATTTATTAATAATAAATTAGAAATCCGCTAAAAGGGCCCTACTTGTAAGCCAAACCGGAGTTCCAATGTTGCTGCCATCAGACCGAAATCTAAACTGAACACAAGGGGCCGAAAAATGCGACCTTTGAACAGGTATTCATTAATTAATATTTAAACAAACTGCTTTGTTTTTAGTAACTGCGTTTTGAAGAAAACGGTGTTCGATTTAATTATCATTTCAAAGATAAAACACAACTGGATAGCCCAGAAGATTTTTTCATAATCAAAAATAAAGAATCCCATGGTTTTTTCAAAACAATAATATTTATAAAAACATTATCCTTTTAATTATTTTAATACTTTTGATCCTTTTCGTCCTTTCCGTCCTTTTCGTCCTTTTCGTCAGTTTCGTCCTTTTCGTCCGTTTCGTCCTTTTCGTCCTTTTCGTCCTTTTCGTCCTTTTCGTTCTTTTCGTCCTTTCAGTTTTTTCAGTCCTTTCAGTTTTTTTCGTCCTTTTAGTCCTTTTAATCCTTTTCGTTCTTTTTGTCCTTCTCGTCCTTTTAATTCTTTTTGTCTATGATATCCTTTCCATCCTTTCTGTCCTAGTTCTTTTCGTCCTTTTTGTTCCTTTCGTCTTTTTCGTCCTTTTAGTCCTTTTGGTACTTTTCGTCCTTTTCGTTATTTTCGCACTTTTCGTCCTTTTCGTCCGTTTCGTCCTTTTCGTCCTTTTTCGACCTTATTATCCTATTTCGTCCTTCTTCGTCCTTTTTCGTCCCATTTCGTCCTTATTATCCTTTTTCCTCCTTTGTCGTCTTCTTTCGTCCTTTTCGTCCTTTTTCGTCCTCTTTCGTCCTTTTCGTCCTTTTTCGTCTGTTTTCGTCCTTTTCGTTCTTACTATCCTTTCTCGTCCTTTTTTCCTCCTTTTTCAACCTCTTTCGTCCTCTTCGTCCTTTTACGTCCTTTCTCCTCCTTTATCGTCCTTTTTCGTCCTTCTCGTCCTTTTTCGTTCTTATTATCCTTTTTCGTCCTTTTTCGTCATTCCTCCGCTTTCGTCCGTTTTCTTCCTTTTTCGTCCTTTTTCGTCCTGTTTTGTCCTTTTTCGTCCTATTTCGTCCTTATTATCCTATTTCGTCCTTATTATCCTTTTTCGTCCTTTTTCGTCCTATTTCGTCCTTTTGGTCATTTTTCGTCCTTTTTCGTCCTCGTCTTTTTCGTCCTTATCATCGTTTTTCGTCCTTTTTCGTTCTTTTTTCGTCATTTTTCGTCCTTTTCGTCTTCTTTCGTTCTTTTTCGTCCTTTGTCGTCCTTTTTCGTCCTTTTCGTCTTCTCGTCCTTTCAGTTCTGTCCGTCCTTTTCGTTCTTTTCGTATTTTTCGTCCTTTTCGGCCTTTTCATCCTTTTCGTCCTTTTAGTCCTATTCGTCCGTTTAGTCCTTTTCGTCCTTTTAATCCTTTCCGTCCTTGTCGTCCTTTTCGTCCTTTTCGTCCTTCTCGTCCTTTCAGTCTTTTTCGTTCTTTTTATTCTTTTTATCCTGGCTATCTTTTCTGTCCTTTCCAACCTTTCTCTCCTTCCTATCCTTTCTGGGCTTTCGTCCTCTCGTCCTCGCCCCCTCTTCCTCTCATCCTTTCATCCTTTCATTCTTTCATCCTTTCCACCTTTTTATCTTTTCCTTTTGTTTCATCTTTTTCATCCTTTTCATCCTTTGCATCCTTTCATCATTGTTATGCTTTTTATTCTTTTATCCTTTCATCCTCTCGTTTTCTTATACTCTTATCCTCTCATCCTCTCATGCTCTCGTCCTTTCATCGTCTTACCTCCTTTATAATAATAATAATAATAATAAGTTTATTGTCCCACAGGTTTCCCTAATTACAGGACAAAATATAAAAACTACATAATAATAAATATACAAACAACTAAATAAAATAAAAGAAAAAACAGCACTATCGACCACAATACAAACAGGACTAACCCAAGAAAACATCACTCACGAGCTTATTAGCACATTTGCACATCACTTTATATCCTTTTCATACTTTTAGACCTGGCTTATAGAGAACGAATTCGCGATTAACTTTTAATTGAGGTTCGTTACTAGGCAACGGGCACGTTTTACCCAATCACAGGCTCATATTCTACATTTCCTATTAAATTAATCGAGGATTAAATATTTAATTATACTTATCGTATTTAAACATTATAAATAATATTAATTATGCTTAAATATTATTTAATTAAATCGTGAAAATGTATAGTTTTTATCGACCAACTTAAATCGTTTCGAAAATTTCCCCAAAATTTAAACTTTGTCGAGTAAACGAATCACGGAACCTGATAAATTAAAACTGAAGTCGTACTTACTCTGTTTTCCGTCCTTTTCGGAAACATATCCATTTTCTTCCGTGTTCACAACAATAACACATCACATTTTCCGTAATATTTATTAATAATAAATTAGAAATTCGGGAAACTGCTCTACTTTTACAGGACGCGACGATCTTGTCGCCATCAAACAGAAATTAAAACTGAACACAAAGGAGTGAAAAACGTTACCTTTGGACAGGTAGCTCACGTGACAGCGACGTCATCGCACGTCACGACGAGATTGTAAAAATTATTTTTCATATTTTGGCCGGGAAATTAGACATTTTCAGGATTAACTTGACAATATTTAAACAAATTGCTTTGTTTTAATACCATTGCGTTTTTAGTAAAACCGTTTTCGGTTTGATTATCACATATTAATAGTTACTTACCATATTTGAACATTATAAATAATATTAATTATGTCTAAATTGTGAAAAGAGCTACCCATGAAGATACAGCTTTTCGTACCATAAGATGTGTGCACGCGAACTTGCCACAGTTTTCCCCTGTAGAGTAAAAGAGTAAAAATTAAATTTAAGTCACGAACCGCCACTGGACAATACACATTTTTATGATTTGTGTGTGCATTTACTCAAATTTAGACCCGATAAACTTTCACTTTTTGGCGATAACGAGTTAAAAACTGTCACAACGACGCACAAAATTCGTACAAAAGTACCTTGACTGACATGGCGTTCGCACGGTGGTTACTTTTTGCCACTTTTTTAGTGTCAGCTTTGGTAAATTATTTTCTTCTGCATTTCGCCGTTTTCTTATTTAAACAATTATTTTCAGGCTTTAACTCCCCAACAAAACGCAACTCTCGAACAATATAGCAAACCCTGTAGAGATGCAACTGGTGTGACTCCTCAAGACATCGATACAGGTTTGAATGGTGAAGATAAAACCGACGATTCGAAACTGAAAGCTCACGTTCTTTGCGTTTTGAAAAAAATTGATCTGATTAATGAGAATGGCGATATTGATGTGGAAAAGTTAAAAAAGTTGGCCAAACTGGTGGCTGCTAGCGAGGAAGAGGCGGAAAGTGAGGTTGCTAAGTGTGCTTTACAGAAAGATACTCATGAAGATACAGCTTTTCGTACTATAAGGTGTTTGCATGAGAAATGGCCACAGTTTTCTCCTGTAGAATGAAAGAATCACAATAAAATTTTCTAAAGCTCAATGTCGTATTTTTTTTTACAAAATTCAACATTGAACACAAAAATCACACAAAAATTATTTTTTGTGAAAAACGATGCCATCTACAAAAAGTAGACTTGGAACTGCCCACAGTAGTTGATAAGTTGCATCATTAATCAAGCATGCCATCTTTTAATGGTCTGACATAGTTATTTTTGTATTTATCTCAAAATAACCACTATTAAATATTTCACCTTAACCTTATTTACAGATCTCGTATTTGTACTGTATTTATCAATGTTGACTTTCGTGTTATCTTGTTCACTTGGATTCTACTGTGTTGTCTACGCGATGAATTTTACTAATTTAATGTTTTCTCGACATTTCATGACTCCTAGCGTATGAAAAAGTACGTTTCTCGTTTCCGTCTGTCTGTATTTTGGGAAAATTAAAGGTTTCGTATTTGTAGTTTATTAATCCGCCTTAATTTTTACCTTAGACTTTTAGCTTTTCGGAATAAATGAAAATTTTAAACAACATTTCACAGGTTCAGTCTTTTTCGTCACCAGTGGTGTAGAGTTGCGACTCTCTGCGTGATCCACTTGCCATAGGACAAGTGACAAGTGCAATTCGTAAGAGCTCTTAACCCTCTTGATCCTCTCGCTTCGGGTGAAGTGGAATTGCGGTTGTCTGTGTGATCCGCTCGTCGTAGAAAGAACCCTACAAACGATACCAGAAAGTAAAACTAAAAAGAAAACAAAATTCTACCCAAAGAATGATTGCTTAACACAACCAACAATTTTGTTAATCGAGTCGAAATTTATATCACATTAGTGAGAAATTTGATTGAAATAACTACACATAATAATAATTGGAGATCTTCTTAAGAAAAAAAAATAATTACTCAAGCATTTTAGGACAGTCTACTTGATTTCTAACTAAAAAAACTAAAAATTTAATGGCGATAATAATTCGTCTTTTATGTAACGATAAAAAATTAAATCTTAATAGTAATAAAGAGTGGTCATATCTTCGACGAGGATAGACCCCATCCAAAAGAAAGGACATACATTTTAAGAACAAGCGTTGACCGGACTCTATATACTCAATATGGTTTTGATAAATTGGAAACCAAATCAAGGCACCATATTCAATTCTCGATCTGACTAATGCGAAAAATAAAGTCTATAACGTATCGACACGCTTAAAGTCACGACAATTTCTGTAAATAAATCCATACGTCCGAAAGCATTTGGAAACTATATCATTAATGTGATCGACAAAACTAAGCTTACAGTCAAAGAGGATACCAAGATCTTTAATAGACTCACATAGCTTAATTGAAGTACCATCTATGTTGTAAGAAGCTTTGACCGATCAACTTCAACCGTTTCCAAAATTTAAACATTGTCGAGTAAACGAATCATAGAACCCGATAAATTAAAACTGAAGTGGTACTTACCCCGTTTTTAGTCCTTTTCGGAAAAATATACATTTTCTTTCGTGTTCACAGCACCAACATAGCACATTTTCACTAATATTTATTAATAATAAATTAGAAATCCGCGAAAAGAGCCCTACTTGTAAGCCAAACCGGAGCTCCAATGTTGCTGCCATCAGATCGAAATCTAAACTGAACACAAGGGGCCGAAAAATGCGACCTTTGAACAGGTAGCTCACGTAACAGTGACGTCATCGTACGTCACGATGAGATTGCAAAATAATTTTTCATATTTTGGCCGGGAAATTGCACATTTTCGGGGTTAATTTAATAATATTTAAACAAATTGCTTTGTTTTTAGTAACTTTGTGTTTTTAAGGAAACGGTGTTCGATTTGGTAATCATATACTAATACGTATTGTATTTAAACATTATAAATAATATTAATTATGTCTAAATTTCATTTAATTATATCGTGAAAATCTATAGCTTTGACCGAACAACTTCAACCATTTCGGAATGTTTTCCAAAATTTAAACATTGTCGAGTAAACGAATCACGGAACTTGATAAATTCAAACTGAAGTCGTACTTCTCTGTTTTCGGTCCTTTTCGGAAAAATATCCACTTTCGTTCGTGTTCACAGTACTAACACAACACATTTTCACTAATATTTATTAATAATAAATTATAAATTCGCGAACAGAAGTCTACATTTAAGCCAAAATATTTTGCCTTTTTTTCTTGTTCGTAATCTTCTTTTCGCAACAGAAAACTTAAAACGTATTTAAAACAGGACCAATTTTTTTAATAATGTGGCTTGGGTTTATGATAATCACCGCACAAGCGACCAATCAGAACCGAGTTTGCTTTAAATGTAGAAATAATCTAGACTTAAAGTCACGAACCACCACTGCACAATATTAACGTGTTATTAAACTTTAAACTTGATAAACTCATTGGTGATAATAGTATGAAAAACAATGCAATTAAAGGTTACAACTATGCATAAAGTACGTAGTCAACATGAAGTGCTTGATTTTTATCACATTTTTAGTGTCAGCTTTGGTAAATCGCTCATTTTCCAACTTCCGTCATTTCCGTTTTACTTTCAGGCTTTCATTCCCCAACAAAACGCAACTCTCGAACAATACAGCAAACCCTGTAGAGATCAAACCGGTGTGACTCCTCAAGAGATTGAGAAAGGTTTGATTGGCAAAGAGATAGATGACGATCCAAATTTAAAAGTTCTGAATCTTTGCGTTTTGAAAAAAATCGATCTTATTAATGACAATGGTAACATCAACGTCGAGAAACTAAAAAAGTTGGCAAGACTGGTGGCTGCTAGTAAAAGAGGAAAAATTAAATTTAAGTCACGAACCGCCACTGGACAATAAACATTTTTATGATTTGTGTGTGCATTTGCTCAAATTTAGACCCAATAAACTTTCACTTTTTGGCGATAACGAGTTAAAAGCTGTCACAACAACGCACAAAATCCGTATAAAAGTACCTTGACTGGCATGGCGAGCACACGGTGGTTACTTTTTGCCACATTTCTAGTGTCAGCTTTGGTAAATTATTTTCTTTTGAATTCCGTCTTTTTCTTATTTATTTTCAGGCTTTGACTCCCCGACAAAAGGCAACTCTCGAACCATATAGCAAACACTGTAGAGATGCAATTGGTGTGACTCCTGAAGACATCAAGGTAAGTTTGAATGGTGAAGATAGAACTGAAGTTCCGAAATTAAAAGCTATGGCGCTTTGCGTTTTGAAAGAAATTGAACTGATTAATGACGATGGTGAAATCAATGTGGAACAATTTAAAAAGTTGGCCAAAGAGGTGGCTGCTAGCGACGAAGAGGCGGAAAGTGTTGTTGCTATGTGCGCTTTACAGAAAGATACCCCTGAAGAGACAGCTTTTGATATTATAAGGTGTTTGCACGAGAAATGGCCACAGTTTTCTCCTGTAGAATGACAGAATCACAATAAATTTTTCTAAAGCTCACTGTCGTATTTTTTTTTTTAGAAAATTGTACGTTGAACATAAAAATCTCTAGTTGACAAGTTGCATCATTAAAAATAACCACCGTTAAATTTTTCACCTTAACCTTATTTACAGATCTTATATTTGTAGTGTATTTATTTATAAATGTTGACTTTCGTGTTTATCTTGTTTTCTCGACATTTCATGACTCCCAGCGTATGAAAAAGTTAGTCTCTCGTTTCCGTCTGTCTGTATTTTGGAAAAATTAAAGGTGTCTTATTTGTAGTTTATTAATCTGCCTTAGTTTTTAATTTAGACTTTTAGCTTTTCGGAAAAAAATGAAAATTTTAAACAACCTTTCACAGTTCCAGTCTTTCTCGTCACGGGTGGAACTGAATTGCGACTCTCTGCGTTATCCACTTGCCATGGAAGGAATTTTGTCACTCGGCGCAATCGCAGTAGTGACTGTAAGTGCAATTCGTAAGAGCTCTTAATCCTCTTAATCCTGTCTGTGTGATCCGCTCGTCGTAGAAGGCGGAACCCTCCAGTAATAGTATTTACGCTACAGGGGTTTATATTTTGTTAAACAAATTCGAAAAACCTTTGTTTTTGAAATTACTTGAACGAATCCTAGGAGTTTCTAGAGTCTCTGTTTTTTTAATCTAAAAAATCTTCCAATGCTCTTGCCACCCACCCTTTCTTTTCTTAGAGGGTATGCCATTTGCCAAAATCAGTCTTATCCTAGCAAGTACTAGCCCCACCCACCCGGCCTGTTTTTTCTTAGAAGGTAAGTCATTTGCGAAAGTCAGTTTTTTCCTAGCAAGTACTAGCCCCGCCCACCCGCCCTCTATTTTCTTAGAGATATGTCATTTGCCAAATTCAGTCTTATTTGATCTCATCTTTGTATAAACCCGCCCTAAAAGTATTAAAAGGATATAAAGGATTTGTGCGAATTATGAATTAGAACAACGGACAGTCGTTTTACGAATTTTGGATGAGAGGATGAAAGGACGAGAGGATGAGAGAACGAAAGGATCAGAGGATAAGAGGATGAGAAGAAGAACGGATAAAAGGATGAGGAGATGAGAGGATGATAGAAAAACGGATAAGAAAATGAAAGGATGAGAGGATGAGAAGACGGGGGGACGACAGGATAAAAGTGAAAAAGAATAGTACAGCTAAAAATGATACAAAGGATAACAGAATGAAAAGGATAAAAATGAAGAAAAAAAAAAGGATGACAAGGATGAAAAGAATGAAAAAAAGGAAAAGAAGGAAAAGATAAAAAACATGAAAAGGATGAACGGACGAAAAGATGAAAGATGAAAGGATGAGAGGATGAGAGGATGAGAGGCCGAGAGGAAAGAGGACGAGAAAGACGAGAAGGACGAAAAAGACGAGAAAGACGAGAAAGACGAGAAAGACGAGAAAGACGAGAAGGACAAGAAGAACGAAAGGCACGAAAAGGACGAGAAGGACTGGAAGGACGAGTAGGACGATAAAGACGACAAGGACGACAAGGACGACAAGGACGAAAAGGGCGGAATGGACGAAAAAGACGAAAAGGACGAAAAAGATGAAAAGAACGAAAATGGCGAAAATGGCGAAAAGGACGAAAACGACGAAAAGGGCGGAATGGACGAAAAAGACGAAAAGGGCGAAAAAGACGAAAAGAACGAAAATGGCGAAAAGGACGAAAATGACGAAAAGGACAAAAAGGACGAAAAGGACGAAAAGGACAAAAAGGACGAAAAGGACGAAAAGGACAAAAAGGACGAAAAGAACGAAAAGGACGGAATGGACGAAAAGGATAAAGAGGATTAAAAGGATTAATAATAAAAGGATTAAAAGGATTAAAATTAATAAAAGTATTAAAAGGATATAAAGGATATGTTGATTTGTGCGAATTATGAATTAGAACAGCGGACGAAAAGGACGAAAAGGACGAAAAAGACGAAAAGAACGAAAATGGCGAAAAGGACGTAAATGACGAAAAGGACAAAAAGGACGAAAAGGACGAAAAGGACGAAAAGGACGAAAAGGATTAAAAGGACTAAAAGGACTAAAAGCACGAAAAGGATTAAAATGGCGAAAAGGACGAAAATGACGAAAAGGACAAAAAGGACGAAAAGGACGAAAAGGACGAAAAGGACGAAAAGAACAAAAAGGACGAAAAGGACGAAAAGGATTAAAAGGTCTAAAGGACTAAAAGGACGAAAAGGATTAAAAGGGCGAAAATGACGAAAAGTACGAAAAGGACGAAAAAAACGAAAAGGACGAAAAACACTAAAAGGACGAAAAGGACGAAAATGACTGAAAGGGCGAAAAGGATTTAAAGGACGAAAAGGGCGAAAATGAGGCAAAGGACGAAAAGGACGGAAAGGACGAAAAGGATTTAAAGGACGAAAAGGACGAAAATGACAGAAAGGACGAAAAGGAAGAAAAGGACGGAAAGGACGAAAAGGACGAAAAGGACAAAAAGGACGGAAAAGACGAAAAGGACCAGAGGGACTAGAAGGACGAGAAGGACGAGAAGGACGAGTAGGACGACAAAGACGACAAGGACGACAAGGACGACAAGGACGACAAAGACGACAAGCAAGACAAGGACGACAAGGACGACAAAGACGATAAGGACAACAAGGACGACAAAGACGACGAAGACGATAAGGACAACAAGGACGACAAAGACATAAAATGAAGAAAAGGGTAAAAGGACGAAAAGGACGGAAAGGACAAAAAGGGTAAAGAGGTTTGAAATGATTAAAAGTATTAAAAGGATTAAAATTAATAAAAGAATTAAAAGTATTAAAAGGATATGTTGATTTGTGCGAATTATGAATTAGAACAGCGGACGAAAAGGACGAGTAGGATAACAAAGACGACAAGGATGACAAGGACGACAAAGACGACAAGGACGACAAGGACGACAAGGACGACAAGGACGACAAGGACGACAAGGACGACAAGGACGACAAGGACGACAAGGGCGAAAACCACGCAAAGGACAAAAAGGACGAAAAGGATAAAGAGGATTAAAATGATTAATAATAAAAGGATTAAAAGAATTAACAGGATATAAAGGATTTGTGCGAATTATGAATTAGAACAGCGGACGAAAAGGACGAAAAGGACGAAAAAGACGAAAAGAACGGAAATAGCGAAAAGGACGAAAACGACGAAAAGGACGAAAAGGACAAGAAGGACGAAAAGGACGAAACGAACGAAAAGGACGAAAAGGATTAAAAGGACTAAAAGGACTAAAAGCACGAAAAGGATTAAAAGGGCGAAAATGACGAAAAATACGAAAAGGACGAAAAAAACGAAAAGGACGAAAAGGACTAAAAGGACGAAAAGGAAGAAAAGGAAGAAAAGGACGAAAAGTACGCAAAGGACAAAAAGGACGGAAAAAACGAAAAGGACGAGAAGGACTAAATGGACGAGAAGGACGAGAAGGACGAGAAGGACGAGAAGGATGAAAAGGACGAAAAGGACGGGAAGAACGAGTAGGACGACAAAGACGACAAGGAAGACAAGGACGACAAGGATGACAAAGACGATAAGGACGACAAGGACGACAAGGATGATAAGGACAACAAGGACGACAAGAACATAAAATGAAGAAAAGAAGAAAAAGGATGAAAAGGACGAATAGGACGAAAAGGATTAAAAGGACTCAAAGGACGAAAAGGACGGAAAAGGATGAAAAAGATGAAAAGGATGAAAAGGATAAAAAGGATGAAAAGGATAAAAAGGATGAAAAGGATGTAAAGGATGTAAAGCATGAAACGGATGAAAAAGATGAAGGGGATGGAAAGGATGAACAGGATGATAAGGATGGAAAGAATGAAAAAAAGGAAATAATAAAAAAAATAAAAGGATGAACAGATGAAAGGATGAAATGATGAGAGGATGAGAGGACGAGAGGCCGAGAGGCTGAGAGGACAAGAGGACGAAAGGACGAGAAGAACAAGAGGGACGAGAAAGGCGAGAAGGATGAGAAGGACAAGAAGGACGGAAAAGACGAAAAGGACGAAAAGTACAATAAGGACGAGAAAGACGAAAAGGACGCAAAGGACGAAAAGGACGAAAAGGACTAAAAGGACTAAAAGGACGAAAAGGGCGAAAAAAACCAAAAGGACGAAAAGGACGAAAAGGACTAAAAGGACGAAAGGACTAACAGGACGAAAAGAACGGAAAGGACGAAAAGGACAAAAAGAACGGAAAGACGAAAAGGACGAAAAGTACGATAAGGACGAAAAAGAGGAAAGGACGAAAAGGACGAAAAGAACGAAAAGGGCTAAAAGGAAGAAACGGACGAAAAGGACGGAAAGGACGAAAAGGATGAAAAGGACAAAAAGAACGGGAAAGACGAAAAGGACGAAAAGTACGATAAGGACGAAAAAGACGAATAGGATGAAAACGACCAAAAGGACGGAAAGGACGAAAAGGATAAAGAGGATTAAAATGATTAATAATAAAAGGATTAAAAGTATTAAAAGGGTTAAAAGTATTAAAAGGATTAAAATTAATAAAAGGATTAAAAGTATTAAAAGGATATGAAGGATATGTTGATTTGTACGAATTATGAATTAGAACAGAGGACGAAAAGGACGAAAAGGACAAAAAGGACGAAAAAGACGAAAGGACGAAAAGGACGAAAAAAACGTAAAGGACTAAAAGGAAGGAACGGACGAAAAGGACGGAAAGGACAAAAAGGAAGAAAAGGATGAAAAGGACAAGAAGAACGGGAAAGACGAAAAGGACGAAAAGTACGATAAGGACGAAAAAGACGAAAAGGACGAAAAGGACCAAAAGGACGGAAAGGACGAAAAGGACAAAGAGGTTCAAAATGATTAATAATAAAAGTACTAAAAGGATTAAAAATATTAAAAGGGTTAAAAGTTTTAAAAGGATTAAGACCTGGTTTATAGAAACCGAAGTTAAAGTTAATTCGCGATTAACTTTTAATTGAGGTTCGTTGCTAGGCGACGTGCAGGTTTTAACCAATCACGAGCTCCCATTCCTCATTTTAATCCAGTGTTAAATTAATCGAGGATTAAATATTTAACTCGCGCTTCTATAAACCGGCCCTAAAGGTATTAAAAGGATTAAAATTAATAAAAAGATTAAAAGTATTAAAAGGATATGAAGGATATGTTGATTTGTACGAATTATGAATTAGAACAGCGGACGAAAAGGACGAAAAGGACAAAAAGGACTAAAAAGGCGAAAAGAACGAAAGGGACGAAAATAACATAAAGGACTAAAAGGACGAAAAGGACGAAAAGGCGAAAAGGACTAAAAGGACTAAAACGACGAAAAATATATTTAAAAAAAACTCAAAACTTTTCTTATTATGAATTGTTTTTATATATAGTTTTGAGGATTATCTTCGTTGTAGAAATTTTAATAGTTTATTGGTTTAATTTATTATGTAACTTGAGTAAACTGTATTTGTAAGTTTTTAACATCAATAAAGTATTGATTGATTGAAAAAGACGAAAAGGACGAAAAGGATTAAAAGGTCTCGAAGGACGAAAAGGGCTAAAAGGACTAAAAGGACTAAAAGGACTGAAAGGACGAAAAGGACGAAAAGGACTAAAAGGACGAAAAAGACAAAAAGGACGAAAAGGATTAATAGTAGTACAGTAATTAAAAGAAGTGATTTTGTAAATATTTTTAATTTGAAAAAATCATGGGGTTCTTTATTTTTGAATGTGAAAGAATCTTCTGGGCCAGTTGTGTTTTATCTTTGAAATAATTTGAAGAGATCTTTAGAATTCCTGTTTTCTTTTTTAAAAAGCCTGAAAAGGTCTTGGGGACGCCTAATGTCCTTCTTTAATAAAATGAAAGAGGTGAAGTATCTTGTGTTTTCATTTCAAAAGAATTTGGAAGGAACTTGGGGGTTCCTGGCGTCTTGTTTTTGGAAGATTTTGAAAAGATCTTAAATGCCCCTTCTGCTTTTGTAAGTATTATTTATTTGAAAAAATCTTGGGGAGCTTTATTTTTGAATATGAAAGGATCTTCTAGGTCATTTAGTTTTATTCCTGGTGTTTTGTGTTTGAAAGGATTAAAAAAGATCTTAGAAACCGATAGTGTTTTTCTAAAATATGTGAAACAATGTCTTTAATTTTGCAAGAACTTGAAAAAAATCTTGAGACTTCTTAGTCCCTCTGTTTTTGATTATAAAACAATCTTCTAGCCACTTGTTTTATTTTTAAAATAATTAAAAAAAGCCGTTGGGGATTTCCGTTTAGTTTTCGAAAGAGAATCTTGGAGGTTTTTTATTGGAATTTGTAAATGTCAACAAAAAATCGCAGAATCAAACTTTATAATTTATTTAACCAATTAAACTTGTTTTAGTAGCTGTGCTGCAGGACCGAAACAAGTTCCGTATAAATAACTTCATACCAATTTCGTATTTTCCGACAGTTTTTTTTTCATTTTGGTAATCTACATTATCTTTCAAAACACCGCCAAACTTTAGACGGTTGATAATCATGAATCATCGCATACAGTTCCTCATTTCACCCTCTACATACTCCTCTTATTGCTTTTTTTTCATATCCGCCACCGAACCCGTTCGCGGGTCACGACCCTCAACCCGAGCAACATCCGCAAATTAAACTTATTAATCCCATCATCAAGGCCAAGAATCCCAGCTAATCCTCCTCAACCACCTCTCCTTGTTTGAATAATATCTCCACGTAGCCCAATTTCCATCCAAATTACCCCATCTCCCCATCATTGTACCGCTTCATCCCTACTAAAATTTTTCCAACCCTGCGACTAAACAGCCACAAAAAAGTTAAAAGTTCGACGCCACATCAGGCATCGATCCTTATCGCCTCACCGTTTGTAGCGTGCCGCTACATCATGTCATAATCTGCACTTCAACCCGCATTCCCATTTCGCACCCTTATCATTAGAGGAATTTTTCCGTTGATAAATTACCGGGCCTGTCACGTCGAGATGCTTTAATTAAACTGTTAAACTATCCCAGAACTCGGTCCTGACGTTGATAGAACACGCGATACGGAAACGGAGATACAACGTTATTATTTACAATTAAGGGGGGGAGTGTGTTATGTCTGTTGAAACAACAGAGGCTTGATAAACAAGGGAGGGTTCGATTTTCGGGGGTTATTAAAAGCAAACAGACGACCGGCAGCTGGGATGAAAGGGTCGGTTTTGGGTCCTGAGACGGATTATATTATAAAACCGATGAAGATGACACAAATTTCGTGTAAAAATTAAAAATCAATAGTGCGTAGTACAGAACGCTGTACCCAATCAAGTATCGAGCGTCGCCGGACGTAACGCCTCCTCAAACTAGGTGGCGCCATTGTAAAGAAAACACCCACTCAATTTCAACAACCTTTATTAACACCCTCATCAATCACAACTCTTTCTCTTCAAAGCACCCCTTGTGTTGCTCCTCGGTCTGGCCCTTTCCTCCCTCAGACTTGTCGTCGTAGGACTGAACACCCTCGTCTCTTGCTCCTAAAACCCTTTAGAATCTAAACTTACAACCACGACCCACTCACCTCTGGAGCGTGGTAGAACATCATGTGGTGCCTCACGGCGTTCCATATCTTGTTTTCAACCAAGAGCTTCTTCACGGATTCGATTTCCGGCGCCATGAAGCGGTCCTTATCCCACGGCTTCACCACGTTCCTCACTGTGGCATAGACGTCTTCAAGGGGCACGGTGGTCCTCAAGGGGCGTAGAAACTCGATAGCTTGACAAGCCGCCAGAAGCTCTATGGCGATGACGTGCTCCACATTCTCGAGGACCTGGAGAGCCTTCCGGGCTGCGAAGCACCCCATGGAAACGTGATCCTCTTGGCCGGCGCTTGTGCTCATGCTGTCGACGGAAGAGGGGTGGCAGATGACCTTGTTTTCGGATACTGTGGCGAAAAAAGGGAAAGTTGAGACCTGGGGGTTGAGGAAATGTGGGAGTCTGACCTAGTGCTGCTGCTGTGCAATGGGCGATCATGAAACCGGAGTTGATGCCGCCGTCTTCGACGAGGTAGGCGGGCAAACCACTGAGTGCTATAATAATAATAATAATAATAACGTTTATTGTCTGTCTGTCTGTCTGTCTGCCGTCAGTCCCGATTTTTATGGCAGTACACCTTAAGGATTTATTAATAAGTTGTACAATTATTCAAGCACGTTATTTTTGAGTGGTCTGACTTAGCTAATTATCCTTGCGTAATTATGCTTTATTTTTACATTTATCTAAAAATAGCCACCATTATTTTATTGTAACCTTATTTATAGTGCATTTATCAATGTTGACTTTTGTGTTTTATCTGTCATGATTCCAATGAGTCGCTTAACACTTATTTTGCGCTATGGAAAAAAAATAGTTTGGTTTAATTAATCAACGACATGCTAAGTCCTTTCCAAGGATGACTCAACTACAATTCTCTTGCGATGGAATTACCTGGATTGACGAGGCGCTCAGTTCTTTTTTCGCTCATGGAGGCCAATTCATGTACCGCTATACTCAGAAAGTCCAGAACTTTGGCCGGGTATTCCCCATGGAAGTTACCCGCGGAGATGATTTCACCCCGATCCGCAAAAACAATCTACCCCACTGTTAAAAACCTTATACATAGTCTACAATTCAAATTTTCTCACAGAGGGTTACCACCCCCCAATTTATGCAACCCCTTTTACAAAGGATACAGGGTTATCAGTGCCACTATTCATCTCAGTCCTAATTATCTGCTGAACAAACTCGATCGTGTCGTGCACAATCCCATGAACCTGCGGACAGCACCTCAAGGTATAGGCATCCTGGACCCGATTACAAAACCGGTGGCTCTCTACAAAACCAGTTTCCCCAAACTCGCACACAAAAAAACCCTAGATACCTGCAATTTCCGACGGGTAAGTGTCCGAATGCAGCAAAGCCCTTAGTCGTTGAGCCACGGCGATTTGTCCCTTGTGCGGCCGGATTTTCTGGACATCTGAATCGAAAGCCCTTGAGGTGCCCTTTAACACCTCTAGGGTAAGCGCCGCCACCACGTCGGCCTGTTTGGCTATGCGTTGCGCTCGCTCCACCGCCTCCGCTCCGATACTCGTAATCAGCTGGGTCCCATTGACTAGCGCCACCCCTTCTTTGGGGCCCAGAACCAGCGGCTTTAAACCGTTGAGTTTCAGTACCTGGAGACATTTCAAACGCAAAGTGAGGTTAGATTGACACCGCTGCGCCAATCACGTTATCGATTGGTCGTGCCACGTGACACTGGGGCGCGAAATTCAAGCTTACCTCCCTGGCGTCTCCCCAGCCCGTCTTGGGACTCCACATCTTTCCTTCTCCCATGATCCCGAGGGCCAAGTGTGCCAAAGGGGCCAAGTCCCCGCTGGCTCCGACCGATCCCTGTTCGGGTACCCATGATAAGCATGAAGCTGTAGAGCAATGATTAAAATTCCCATTGTCTCAGAGTAATTAAATACCGTTAAATGCGTCGATGAGGCCCTGCAGTGTGTTTAAGGATATCCCGCTGTATCCCTTTGCTAGGACGTTAATCCTTAATGCGAGCAACATCCTGGTTCTTGCAGGGCTTAAGGGATTACCTACGCCAGCGGCGTGCGATCTGATTAAGTTTTGCTGGAGGTCGCTGGAATAATGGAGCGTTATGGAGATTGGGGAAAAAGGATGGTACGCAATTTGTTATATTAAATAGTTAATTAAAAAGTTAATTAGTAGCTTGTGCTGTAAATTTTGATTTAAAAGGAATTACAAAGGAGATTATTCATAAATAACTCGAGCTTATTCAAGTTGGAGAATTTTGGTATTGTACAGGTTTCATAAAAATTTTGTAGTAGGATAATAACGACGATGACGTCATATTTCCCGCCACATTTTAAATTTCAGTCAAGCCACTTCGTGTAAACGTTACTGAATCCTGGAGGAAAATTTAATTTCGCCATACCTCTTGCAAACTTAGTTTCTTATACAACCGTCAGCTTTTTAATAAATTTTGGCTACGGTTATGACGCAAATAAAGTCGAGAAAGGTTCGTTTTATTAGCCGCGGTTTATGCAAAGTGCCACGACTCACTTAAGTTTTTCAGGTGGAATGTAGACGCTGTGGAAGCTCCCTATTCCCGTGGTGACCCCGTAGACGTTGCGATTCTCCTCGAGGAAGGTTTCCACGAGGGAGCGAGACTTCATGACGTTGTTGATGGCCTCTTTCGACAGTTTAATCTTAAAGTCGCCATTGCCTAAGTTAACCAAGAGCTCGGTGGTTAAATTGGAGCCGTCCACGAAGACATACTGCAAAAATGTGTACTGTGGTAATAATAGTAAAAAGGGGAATAAAACGTGCTTACGTTTTCCGCCGGTAAAAAATTGCTGGGGCTTGAGTTACTTCCATTAAGGAAAAATAAAAAGCGACAAATATGAATAAAACATGGGATAATTTTATTTCGTGTTTTAGACTTCGCTCTATCCTAAAGTTTATGGTTGTTTTTAATGCAGTGGAAGGTGTTGCGTTAATAGCAATTTTAATATTTATGACTTACGTTCAACCTTTGGCATAAGTTAACGAATTTCTCCCGCTTGTTTCGGCTCTAAATCATGTTTATGAACGACGAGAAAAAAAAACAAAAATGATGTGGAAGCGGCGTGGAAGATCTATTATCTATATTGTAGCGAAAATGGTGAAAAATGGTTATGAGAAGGATACACAGGTTCGAGAACGTGTTTGAGCTCGTCGGGAATCGCCCCAACATTGACCTGGGTGTCCGTGGTTAACACTGAAACCATTTTGTATTAATAACACCCTACAAAATTCATGCGCGCTAGGCAACCCGTAATACACACGTGTATTTAAAGTGGCAGCAAAACGCAGTCGTTTTAACACAATTCGTAGTTATTTGAAATAGATTTTTGTTGATTTACCAATGTTGACGAAGTCGTCGTTATCCAGCACCTCCACGATGACGTCATCCGGGTCCAGCAGCGCCCCGCCCCTCGTTTTACGCACCTCCTGTATGACATTAATGATGTCGTCTTCATCGATTTTGATGCCTAGTAACAGCTTCTGGTACTTTCTCCAAGCCTCTTCGCCCAGCCATCGCACTGTATTGGTCCCTAAAAATGTTATCTTTTAAACACAAACATGTGGCTGCGGTTGATAAGAGTCGTCGTCTGGTGATAGCCCGGAAAATAAAGGCAAAGAGTTGGGTTGTAAAATAAATTACCGTCTCTGCACGGGATTTGGAGCCACTCGTCCTTAACCCTGGCGGAAACTTTCATGGTAAAAACAATACTGGGTGAGGATTTAGAAGTTTCTTTATTTCATCTGCTGACAGTCAGTGTCGGCGGTGATTTATTGTCTTGGTAAATAATGAATTAGTGGCGAGGTGTTGTAAAGAAATGGGTCTGTTGAGGGATTAAGTTTGCTTGGAGAGGGTTTAGAGAGTTTTGTTCAGTGGGTCAGTGAGGTTCTTTGGAATATTCCCAGTAATTAGATGTTTTGGAGATGGGAGGATTGTTGTTATGTAAAGAGGGTTTGGATGTGGAGTATTTAGTTTCCAATATGGTCATGAATTGGTAAATAAATAGTTTTTGAAAAATCCTCAGATTTACAAACAATGAAAGTCAACATTTTCCTTTTTGTTACGTTTGTTGATTTTAGGAGTTGTTTCTTGTGCATTCTCGATTGTGCAGTTAAGCATTTTATCTTGTAAATAGGTATGGTAAACTTCCTTTAAATTATAATAATATTTTCTTGTGCATTCTTTGCTTTAATCCGAGGTGACCTTATTCAGATGTGTGGGTTCATTCCTAGGTTAAGAATGTAAATAGGACCTGTTGCACTAAATGAGTCTTTTTAGTTCATGGACGTAAGGTAAGGAAGTCTGTCTGTGGTCTGTATGGATTTTTATTAGACAGGTAATCTCCGAAACCACTATATCTTTGGAATTTTTATTTTTATTTCCTGAGTTTAAGTCATTCGCTACTTTCATGATTTATCGACATTTCATGACTCCTACACTACGAAAAAACTGGTCCCTCGTTTCCGACTATCTGTCGTCTGTGGCAGTTTTTATATTTAGGAACAACATCTCGCGTTCGAAACGCTGACTAGGTGACTTCTTTTTTTATCCTAAACCGTGACTTTCATTAATTATATATCTGAAGAACGGTACACTCCAGTGTTTTTTTATTAGTATTACACTGCACGTGTCGGAATTGACATAACTTGGAAGATTCGCCAGAAATACAGGCATACAATTTACAAAAATCTGCAAGAATCTAGATGAATTTGCAGGGATTTGAAAAGTTCTGTAAGGATCTAGAGGAATCTTCAGGAACCTGAGGAAATCAAAGAAAATCTGAGGAAATATGTAACACAAGCTAGATGAATCTAAAAGAATCTAAATAAACCTAGAAGAATCTAATGGAATTTGAAAGAATCTACAAAAAAACTGGAAGAATCTAGAACAGCCTGGAAAAATTCGAAAGTATCTGAAACAGTTTCCAGGGAGTTGAAAAATTCTGAGAGAATCTGAGGGAATTAGAGAGAATCGGAAAAAATCTGAAAGAATCAGAGAATCTATAGGCATCTGAGAGAATCTATGGGAATTAGAGAGAATCTATGGGAATCTGAATGAGTCTATGGCAATCAGAGAGAAACCAAAAGAGTCTGAGAGAATGTGAGAGAATCTCCAAGAATCTAGAAAAAATACGAAAATCTAAAAAAACCTGCAAGAATTTGGAAAAATTTAGAAGAATCTGCAGGGATGTTGAAGGATCTGTAAGGACCTGGGAGAGGATTCGAATTTGAAAGGGCGAATGACAACGAAAATGAAAGGATCTGAAAACATCTGTAAGAATCTGGAGGAATCTTTGGAAATCTGAGGAAATCTAAGACAAACTGAGAAAACCTAAGGGAATAATATGTAATACAGAATTGGAAAGAATTAGAAAGAATCAGAAGGGATTAAAAGGAATCTAAAGAAATCTCAGATAATATTAGGCAATCTAGACGCATTTTAAAGAATCTAGAAAAACCTAGAAGAATTTGATGGAATTTCAAAAAACGGGAAGAGTTTAGAACAGTTTACGGATCTGAAAGGAACTAAAGCGATCTGAAACAGTTTATAGGGAGCTGAAAAATTTTGAGTGAATCTGGGTGAATTTGAGAGAATCGGAAAAACTCTGAGGGAAACTGAGAGAACCAATGGGAATTTGAGAGAATCTAATAGAATGTGAGAGAATCTCTAAGAATCTAGAAAAATCTAAGACAATCTAAAAAAAAATTGGAAAAATCTGGAAGGATCTGAAAGGAAGTGTAAGGATCTGACATGATCTAAATTTAAAAGGGAGACTCATAAAGAAAATGAAAGGATGTGAAAGCATCTGTAAGAATCTGGAGAAATCTTCGGGAACCTGAGGAAATATGTAACACAGAATTAGAAAGAATCAGAAGAGATCAGAAGGAATCGAAAGAAGTCTGAGAGCAATTAGGCAATCTAAAAGATTCTAACAGAATCTAGATAAACCTAGAAGAATCTGAGGGAATTTGAATGAATCTAGAAAAAAACTGGAAAAATCTAGAACAGTCTGCGGATCTGGAAAAATTTGAAAGGATCTGAAACAGTCTGTAGGGAGTTGAAAAACTCTGAGAGAATCTGAGGGAATTTGAGAGAATGGGAAAAATATAAAAGAATCTGGGAGAAACTATGATCATCTGAGAGAATCTATAAGAATCTAAGAGATTCTGTGGGAATCAGAGAGAAACTAAGAAAATCTGAAAGAATGTGAGAGAATCTCCAAGAATCTCCAAGAATCTAGAAATATCTATAAAAATCTAAAAAAATCTGCAAGAATTTGGAAGTATCTATAGGGATCTGAGATGATCGGAATTAGAAAGGGAGAATCATAAAGAAAATGAAAAGATCTGAAAGCATCTGTAAGAATCTGTTGTATTCTAAGAGAATCTGAGAATATCTGAGGGAATATGTAACAGAATTGGAACGAATCGGAAAGAAACAGAAGGAATCGGGAAGAATTTTAAGAAATCTGAGAGAAACTTAGGGAATGCGAATCTAAAAGAATCTAGATAAACCTAGAAGAATCTGATGGAATTTGAAAGAATCTAGGAAAAAAACTGGAAAAATCTAGAACAGCCTACCGATCTGAAAGGAACTGAAGCGATCTGGAAAAATTTGAAAGGATCTGAGACAGTTTGTAGGGAGCTGAAAAATTCTGCGGGAATCTGAGGGAATTTGAGAGCACCGGAAAAAATCTGAAGCCATCTGAGAGAATGTGAGGGAATCTCCAATAAAATCTAAAAAAAATCTGTAAGAATCTGGAAAAATTTGAAAAAATCTTTAGGGATCTGAAAGGATTTGTAAGGATCTGGATGAATCTTTGGCAATTTTAGGAAATCAAAGAAAATCTGAGAAAATTTGAGAGAATATGTAACGCAGAACAGGAAAAAATAAGAAGGAATCGAAAGAAATCTGAGATAATCTTAGGAAATCTAGACGAATCTAAAATAATATGATAAACCTAGAAGAATCTGATGAAATTTGAAAGAATCTAGAAGAATCAAGAAAAAAAAATAAAAAAAAAAATAAAAAATAAAAAAAAAACTGGAAGAATCTAGAACAGTCTACGGATCTGAAAGGAACTAAAGCCATCTGGAAAATTTTAAAGAATCTGAAAGAGTTTGTAGGGAGCTGAAAAATTCTGAGAGAATCTGAGGGAATTTGAGAGAATCGGAAAAAATCTGAGAGAATCTATGAGAATCTGAGAGAATCTATGGGAATCTGAGAGAATGTGAGAAAATCTCCAAGAATTTAGAAAAATCCGAGCAAGAATCTAGAAGAGTTTGCAGGAGTCTGAAAGGATCTGTAAGAATCTGAGATGATCTGAATTCGAAAGGGAGAATCATAAAGAAAATGAAAGGATCTAAAAGCATCTGTAAGAATCTGGAGGGATCTTCGGGAATCTTAGGGAATCTAAGAGAATCTGAGAAAATCTGAAACAGTTTGAAGGGAGTTGAAAAATTCTGAGAGAATCTGAGCGAATTTGAGAGCATCGGAAAAAATCTGCAGGAATCTGAGAGAATCTATGGGAATCTGAGAAAATCCAAGAGTGTTTGAGAGAATGTGGGAGAATCTCCAAGAATCTAGAAAAATCTAAGAAACTCTAAAAAAATCTGCAAGAATTTGGAAGAATTTGGAATAATCTGGAGAATTGTGAAAGGATCTGTAAGGATCTGACATCATCTGATTTCGAAAAGGGGATTCATAAAGAAAATGAAAGGAATCTGAGAGAATATGTAACACAAAATTGAAAAGAATCAGAAGGGATCGGAAAAAATCGGAATTATCTGAGAGAATCTTAGGCAATCTAGACGAATAAACCTAGAAGAATTTGATGGAATTTGAAAGAATTTAGAAGAATCTAGCTGGAATAATCTAGAACAGTCTAGCGATCCGAAAGGGACTAAAGCGTTCTGGAAAAATTTGAATGGATCTAAAACAATGTGTAAGGAACTTAAAAATTCTGAGAAACTGTGAGAGAATTTGAGAGAATTGGAAAAAATCTGAAGAATCTGAGGAAATCTACGGAAATCTGAGAAAATCTAAGGAATCTCCAAGAATCTATAAAAATCTAAGAACATCTAAAAAATCTGCAAGAATCTGGAAAAATTTGGAAGAATCTGCAGGGATCTGAAAGGAACTGTAAGAATCTGAAATGATCTAAATTCGAAAGGGAGAATCATACGGAAAATAAAAGTATCTAAAACCATCTGTAAGAATCTGAAGAAATCTTCGGGAATCTGGGAGAATCTAAGAGAATCTGAGAAAATCTGAGGGAATATGTAACACAGAATTGGAAAGAATAAGAAGGAATTGGAAGGAATCGGAAGAAATCTGGTATAATCTTACGCAGTCTAGAGGAATCTAAAAGAATCTAGCTAAATATAGAAGAATCTGATGAAATTTGAAAGAATCTAGAAGAATTAAAAAAAAAACTGGCAGAATCTAGAACAGTCTACGGATCTCAACGGAACTAAAGCGATCTGGAAAAATTTGAAAGGATCTGAAAGATTTTGTAGCGAGCGAGTTGAAAAATTTTAAGAGAATCTGAGGGAATTTGAGAGAATCTGAGAGGATGTTAGAGAATCTCCAAGAATCTAGAAAAATCTAAGAAAATATAAAAAAATTTGCAAATATCTGGATGAATTTGGAAGAATTTGTAGGAATGTGAAAGGATCTGAAAGCATCTGTAAGAATCTGGAGGAATCTTCGGGAATCTGAGAGAAAATATAACACAGAATTAGGAAGAATCAGAAGGAATCAGGAGGGATCGATAGGAATCGGAATAATCTTAGGCAATCTAGACGAATATAAAAGAATCTAGAAGAATCTGATGGGATTTCAAGGAATTTAGAAGAAACTAGAAAAAACTTTAAGAATCTGGAGGAATCTGAGGGAATCTGAGAAAATTTGAGGGAATATGTAACAATGATTTGGAAAGAATAAGAAAGAATTAGAAGGAATCGGAAGAAATCTGAGAGGATATTGAAAGAAAGTGTTTTTTACTTTCTGAGAGTAAGCCAAGGAAGTATTGTAATCGGGCGACTGAATACTTTCATTTTTTTTCAACGTTTCATGACCCCTAGACTACGAAAAAATATGCCTCCCGTTTCCGTCTGTCTGTCTGTTATTCTGTGTATCAAGCAGATAATTTCTGAAACTACTGGACCGATTGTTGTCAAATTTTATATGTGTATTAAGAGTATCGTCTAGATGGGAAAACGATACTGAAAATTTAGCTCCCCACCAATAACAAGATGACGACATCTCCAAAATTTACATTAGTAAATGTTACTAAAATTTGATAAAATAACATACTCCAACGCTTGATTTTTACGCTAGACGTCCCAGATTTTTGACGAAAAAATTAAAATTGTATAATAACATTTTTCAATTTAACACTGAAACTCAAAATTTGTCCTTTTGTGAATCCTTTCCCCTTTATGACTATTTACTCTAGACATCTAGTTTTTTGGGAAAAAATCATTCAAATTTCGTTTTCTTTTAACACAAATGCATGCTGCTCTCGATTTTTACAATCTGAACGTGTTAATCGAATTCTTTCGAAGTATAAACATAAACAGTCGAAGTTAAGTATGTAGCTCGAATACCAACTTTTCATTTAACAAACAAGAATCTAACCTAGCAAATTTGCTCTTTACTTCAATTTACTTTTTCTTGTGTTTTCACTACTGGTCTTTGATAAAATCATACATTTTACAATTTTTGGGCTACATTTTAAAACGCAAACTTTTCAACATTGTCTAACTAACACTAGCTACAATTTTAAACGACCTGTCAAAATTTAAGTTAATTTAACACTCCAGTTCGGTAAATGCGTACATTTCCAGGTGTGTATGTGCTTCTGACAAACATTGAGATAATTCAGCTACGTGTTACTTAATTTGGAAGCGGCTAAAATTTGTCCTTCAGAGATAATAAGTTCCACTTTTGGCAACCGGACTAGTTAAAAAAACAAGACAGATTTTGTAAAATTTTCAAACTAAATTGGGTATTCAACAAATTCCACACACACTGGAATGGATCTAAAACTAGGTCACGTATTCACTCGAGCAAGAAAAACAGCACCTTTTTCAATTTCAGTTTCAATTCCCACCCAAACAATCCGGCCCGTTATTAAGCCTCCTCTTGATTCTAATCGCGCCATCGCAAACTCTTACCACGCACTGTGTATTTTTCATTTAAGAATTCCCAAACATTCCTTCCACACCGGCCGCGGCCTCCAACAAATTCCCTCTCATCTCCACTCACGATCATCTCCCCAATCCCTCTATTTATTTCCGGAAAAAGTGAAAAATAACACCGATAAAGCCCCGTTCTTCCGCAGATTGTTTATAGCGAGCGTCAAAAATTTATCGTTCGTACATAAATCTGTTCATTTTTCGTCGATAAACCTTGGCTCTACGTCGTTAGACCTTTGTGGGATTCGCCTCTAATTGTTTGCACAACATACACTGATAAATTACTCCGGTATTTTTTCATTCGGTTAATGTTATGTCATTGCTTGAGCTCGAAGCTCATGTGACTTTAGTGATAAGCGAGTGGTAAGAGTTCTTGGAATTTAACCAACACTGTTGCAATTGTTGAATGGGTTTTAGGTAAATTGAACATGGATTTGAAGACGTTGTTGGTAGTTGTGGTGGCTGTGGGTGTGGTGCAGGGGGAAGACGACCATGGGTATCTAGTTCAACTCAAGCTGTCTCTTCGGGAGGAAAAAATCCCGGCTATTTTGACCTACTTGTTGGATAATAGTTTAGAAGCGCACGATATCACGACGAGGGATATCATCCAGTTGAGCAAACTCGACACGTATGACCAAAATCAACTACAACAAGTGTTCAATTTTTACGACATCACTGAAGTGTACACTGTTGACAATTTGGAGAAACTCTTGACTAGTTTGAATATAGAATTTGGTTATTTTTATCGCGAATTGACGACAAAGTTGGAATTGACAAGATCCCAGGTTAGTGAGGTCGTCAATTCTTTATCAATTCCTCCGGAGTTTTGGGTCGCTGTAAGCTTAGACGACTATGACGACATCTACAACATCCTCAGACAAGGCAACTATAGTGAAGAGAGTGTAAATGCAGCTTTACAAGTGTCAGATAAGAGCATCACCCAGGTCTACACTGCCGCTAGAGACATCGTACGAGAATTCACCGAAAAACTACCCTCCCCCGACTTCATGAAAATCTTGACACAAAACGGGTGGTCCAAAAAATCCGCCTTGACTCTATACCAAGCTTTGAACATCACCACCCCCGACGTCTACGCCGTCGAAAAATTCAGAAACATCTTCACCAACATCAGTGATAGCTTAAACCAAAATATCTCTGTAGGTGTTTTCGTAGGCCCCCAACAACTCGCTCTACACAAGTTCGTTTTCAACCACCTCCAACGACTCGTCGATGGTGTCAACATTAAAGTGGAAGCAAACGGGGTTGAAATCACTCTAAAGCAAACCGACTCTTTGGGCGAAAATATAGTCGAAGTGGCCACCGCTCAAGCCGGTCCTGACTACATCGAAATCGTCAGTAGCTACAACACGACGGAGAATTGCACCTACGTCACGCTTCTCGACGATCAGGTAAGTGCTGCAAGCGTAGAAGTCACGGATCTGACGATTGAGCAGGACGGGGCTCAGTTTATTTTGGGGACCCCGTTGGTTTGTGGGGGACTGCTGTATGGGTTGGCCCGTGAAGAGAACGACAGTGCCATCATCTTCGACGACTTCTACACGGAACAAAACCCCCCTGAAAACGACGATTTTCTCGACCAGGAGTCCCACAACAACAAGGGGATTCTTCACATGCCGCTCATTACCGTCCTAACCTTCAATCTTATCTCTTTCCTACTGTTGTAGTGTGTACTCACAATGTTTGTAATGTGACGCAGATTCTTATCTAGCTCTAGTCAAAATAAATAAACATCTTAAACAAGAACAAGTTCTTTTATTCGGTAGGTTATGAAACGTCGGTGTTAATCATGATCGAGCTCCGAGAGCACTTTAAAAATTGGTATGCGGATTCTTGAGGGGTTGCTTGGTGTATAATGCACTTGTTGATGAGGGTGTCCACCAGGTCCGAGCTAAGTATAGGGTTCTTTAGTTTCTGACGAAGAAGATCTGTGTCGAAGTTTCCGTTTCGATCTTGAATATTGTTTTGTTGGTTTATGCAAAACAGGAATTGTTTTAGTTGTGGTTTGTCGACAATGTTACCATGTTGTAACATCTTGGCGTCTTCTTCGTCTACTCCGGATGTGTTTATGCAGTCAGAATAGCGTTCGACGAAGTCATCTTTCACGCAAAAGAACTGAAGAAAACGGGTCAGTGCAGACTCTTGCGGTACCCCGATACTTACTTGGATTCCTGTTGTGGCCACAATGAAGAGAAACAAAATTAAATATTTCATACAAACGATTTAGAATGAGTTAGACCATTTTGACAATTTTGACACGTGAGTGTGACATGTTTATTGATAGAAATTGATTATTGACAGTCTAATTGTTCCTTCGTCGTCGGGTGGTAGAAGTTCGTGCATGCATTTGGCGTAGTGGTACGCCGATTCCTCCGGAGTTTCTTGCTCTTGGGTGCAGTTATTGACCACACTGGTCACTATTTCCGCAGACTTGATGTATCTGGAGAGTTTTTCTTCTATCGTGGTTTTGGCGAAACTTCCGTTTGTGTGTTGGATGCCGTTCACTTTGTTGACACATAACAGGAACTTTTTGAATTTTTTGTCGTGCGCTATGCGCACGTTTGTGGGGTTAATTTCAGACGTCGTGAAACAGTTGATGTATCTTTGTATAGAGATTTGCTTTTGAGTGTGAACCAGATGATACAACTAGTTATTAAAACTTTGTTAAATGGTTTGGTTAGGGGCGAAATATACTTACAAGTAACGAAAATATGAAGGTTTGAACATACATTGTGGGTTTATGTGGCACTAAATGAGTCTAATAAGTGAGAAACTTTGTTATTAAGAGCTCGCAATGTTAAAGGTTACGGTGATAAACTTATCAATATGAATCGACGTTTATATTGAGGTAGGCAACACATTATACATTCGTTTCACTACTAATTCAGATTTTGTGTTATTAATATGAGGATTTGAAAAGACACAAGCCAATTTTGGTTTCAAAATCTATTACCTCTTTCTTTATACCATGATTCTTAAATTTTTGATTTAAAGTTTGCCCTGTGAATAAAGTTTTTTACGAATTCATGCCTCAGGAAACAAATGTACGTTATTAGGGAGCCAGTGCGCTTTCTTATTTCATGAAAAGATGATAAATAATTACAACTCCTACGTAGTTTATGAATTGAATACTTGCTAAAAGCGCCCGAATTTATTAACGGAATTCAAAGCATTCCTGGCTCGGAGAAGCGATGAATATAAACCAAAAACTCCCGGTTATTAACAAGAAAGATATGGATAAATTCCTTATCAAGCGAATAGGATCTCTAGATGTAGTCGAATTTGTGGATGAAGTAATTTAAAACAATGTTTGGAAGGTTTTCTGTGAACTTATCTTATTCATTCTTTTACAGGACTTAAATATAATATTTGCTTAATTATATTATCAAAAATTTCGGAAAAGATTTGCTTTAGTTTCTGTTGTGTTCGTTTCACTTTCTTTACAACGTTTTGACGCTAAAGTGTCATTATCAAGTTTTTTATAAATTTTGTAACAAATTCCTAGCTCTGAAAGTAGCTGTGACCGACTTAATGCTTCTAAAAAAAAAAAACACATTGTTTAAAATTTTTTTCGATTCTTTCAGATTCTCTCAATTTCTTTCGGATTCCCTCAGATTTCCTCAGAAATTTTTCCATATCGCGTTAGATCCTTTCAGATCCTGGCAGATTGTTATAGAATCTTCCAGGTTTATCTTGATTCGTCTAGATTCCCTGAGATTCTGTCAGATTCCTTCCGATCCGTTCTGATTCTTTCTGAGTCTTCTGATTTATTATTTCTTATTCCCTCAGATTCTCTTAGAGTCCTTTAGATTCCCTCAGATTCCTCCAGATTCTTTCAAATGCAAATTATTTCTTTTCTATACGATTCTTCCGTTGGATTCTTTTGGATTCTTTCTGATTCTTCCTTTCAGATTCACTTGAATTTTTTCCGTTTCTTTCAGATTCTTCCAGATTCCTTTAGATTTCCTCAGATTTGTTTAGGCTCCCTCAGGTTTTTTCAAATTCTCTCAAATTCTTTCAGATTTTCTCGTATTCCCACAGATCCTTCAAATTCTTTCACTTTCTTCTTCCTGTCGGTTCCTTTTGCATGCTTTCTGATTCTCTCTTTCAGATTCTTTCGGTTTATACCGGGTGCTTTTGGATGCTTTCGGCTTTTTCCGTCTTTACATCCTCAAGATTAAAAATTTTCAGTTCTATTCAGATCATTTTAAATCCTTGGGATCCTTTAAGATCTCTGCACATTCTTCCAAATTCTTCGAGATCTTTCGAGATTCTTTGAGATTCTCTTAGATTCTCTCAGAATATCTTAGATTCTCACTGGTTCCCTAAGATTATCCCAAAGTCCTTCAGATTCCTTCATATTCCTTCAGAGTGCTTTAGATTCTTTCTGAATCTCTTAGATTTCTGCGAATCTTCCAGTTTCTCTTACATTCCAACAGATTCACTCAGATTCTCTGAAATTCGTTCAGATTTTCCTCTAGATTCTTACAGATGCTTTAAGATTCTTTAATTTTTTACGACTCGTCTTTTCGGATTCAATTGGATTTTTTCTCGTTCTCTCTTTCATATTCTTTCGGATTATTTCGGGTGCTTGTAGATGCCTTCGGATTGTTACCGATCATTTCGTTTTTTTTCAGATATCTTCAAAGACATCTTCAGGAATCCACATAATTCTTTCAAAATTTTCAGTTTTATTCAGATCCTTTTAGATCCTTGTAATTCGTTCAGATTCCTGTACATTCTTTCAAGTTCCTCGAAATTATTTGAGATTTTTCGAGATTCTCTTAAATTCTCTAATATTCTCTCAGATTCTCACAGGCTCCCTCAGATTGTCCCAGATTCTTTCAAATTCCTTCGGGCTTTTTTAGATTCCATTAGATTCCTTCAGATTGCTTTAGATTCTTTCCGAATCCCTCAGATTTGCGCGAATCTCCTTATTCCCTCAGATTCTTTTAGATGCTTTCAGATTCTCTCAAATTCCTTCTGATTTCGTCAAATTATTTTCGAATCTTTGAGATTTTCCCAGATTCTCAGATTCACTTGGATTTTCCTTGATTCTTTCAGACCCCCCAGATTCCTCCAAATTCTTTTAGAATTTCTCGAAATTTTTCACATTTCAGCTCGTTTCAAAATCCTTACAGATCCTTTCAAACTTTTCAAGATGGTCTCAGATTTCTACAGATTCTTCCGGATTATTCCAGATATTTTTTAGATTCCTGTAGAATCTTTTAAATTCTTCCAGATAATTCTAGACTCTTCTACATTATTCTGCATTCTTCTACATCTTCTACATCTTCTGCGCCCTTCTACATTCTTCTAGATTATTTTACATTTTCTCAGATTCCCTCTGATTCTCCCAGGTTCTCTCAAATTCTCTCTGATTGTCTTGGATTTCCTCAGATTTCTTAATTTTCCCCAGATCCTTCCAGATTTTTCCAGATTCTTTCATTTTCTTTGCAAAGCTTCCTTTCGGATTCTTTAGGATTATTCTGGCAGCTTTTTCATGCTTTTGAGTTGTTGCAGATTCCTTCAAAAACACCGTCTGAGATCCTTAATATTCTTTCAAAATTTTCAGTTCTTTTCAGATCATTTTAAATCTTTTCAGATCTCTGCACATTCTTCTAAATTCTTTGAGATTCTTCGAGATTTTCTTAGATTCTCTCAGATTCTTTAAGATTCCCTCAGATTCTCACAGGTTCCCTCAGATTATCCTAGATTCTTTCACATTCCTTCAGATTCCTTCAGACTCTTTCAGATGCCTTCAGATTGCTCTCAAATTTCTGCGAATCTTCCAGTTTCTCTTAGATTCCCCCAGATTCTTTCAGATGCTTTCAGATTCTCTCAAATTCCTTCAGATTCAGTCAAATTCTTTCCAAATTTCTGAGATTTTCTCAGATTCTAACAGATTCTCTCGGATTCTTTCAGATTCTTACAGACGCTTTAAGATTCTTTCATTTTTTACGATTCGCCCTTTCGGATGCTGTAGGATTCTTTCTCATTCTCTCTTTCAGAATTCTTTGGATTTTTCTTGGATTAATTTGGGTGCTTTTGGATGCTTTCAGATTGTTTAAGATTATTTCGAATTTTTTCCGATTCTTTCAAAGACACCTTCAGGAATCCACATGATTCTTTCAAATTTTTTAGTTCTATACAGATTATTTCAGATCCTTAAAGATCTTTTCAGATCTCTGCAGACTCTTCCAAATTCTTCCAGATTCTTCTAGATTTTTCTAGATGCTTTTAGATTTTTCTAGATTCTTCGAGATTCTCTTAGATTCTCCCAGATTTTTTTAGATTCTCTAAGATTCTCAGAGGTTTCCTCAAATTCTGGCAAATTTCTTTAGATTTCTCAAATTCTCTCAGGATTTTTCACCTTTCAGCTCGTTTTAAAATCCTTCTAGATCCTTTCAAACTTGTCAAGATGGCTTCAGATCCCTGCAGACTCTTCCAGATTGCTCTGGAATCTGTACACTCCTCCAGATTTTTCTAGATTCTTTTACATTCTTCTACGTCTTCTACATCTTCTACGCTTTTCTACGTCCTTCTACATTCTTTTACAATTCTCACAGATTATCTCAGATTCTCCCATATTCTTTCATATACTCCCACGTTCTCAGATTCTCTAAGATTCCCTCAGACTCCCTTATTTCCTTCAGATTATCTTAATTTTCCCCAGATCCCTCCCGATTGTTTTTAGATTCTTTTAGCTTCTTCCACTTTCTCTACGATTCTTCCTTTCGGATTCTTTTGGATTACTTTTTGTACTTTTTTTCAGATACTTTCGAATTTTTCGAATTATTTCAGGTGCTTTTGGATGCTTTCGAATTGTTTAAGATTATTTCTAATACTTTCAGATTTTTTCGAAGACACCGTCTGAAATCTTCAAGATTCTTACAAATTTTTCAGTTCTATTCAGATTATTTCAGATGTTTAAAGATCTTTTCAGACCTCTGCAGACTCTTCCAAGTTCTTCCAGATTCTTCCAGATTTTTCTAGAAGCTTATTGAATTTTCTAGATTCTTCGAGATTCTCGTAGATTCTCCCAGATTCTCTTAAATTCTCTAAGATTCTCACAGGTTTCCCCAAATTTTCACAAATTCTTTCAGATTCCATTTGATTTCTTCAGATTCTTTCTACATCTTCTACATCCTTCTACAGTCTTCTCCATTCGTCTGCATTCTTTTACATTCTCTCAGATTATTTCACATTATCCCAGACTCTTTCATATTCTCCCAGGTTCTTTCAGATTCCCTTAAATTCTCTTAGATACCTCAGATTTCCTTAATTTCTCCCAGATCCCTCCAGATTTTTTTTAGATTCTTTCAGCTTCTTTCATTTTCTTTATGATTCTTCTTTCTTTCAGATACTTTCGATTTTTTTCGGATTATTCCGCGTGATTTTTGATGCTTTCGGGTTGTTTCAGATTCTTTCTAATACTTTCAATTTCTTTCGAAGACAACGTCAGAAATCCTCCAGATTCTTTCAAATTTTTCAGTTCCATTCAAATCGTTTCAAATTCTCACATATCCTTTCAAATCCCTGTAGACTTTTCCAAATTCTTCCAGATTCTTCCAGATTTTTCTAGATTCTTCTACATCCTTCTGCATCTTCTACATCTTTTATATTCTTCTACATTCTTTTACATTATCTCAGATTATCTCAGATTCTCCCAGATTCTTTCATATTCTCCTCGGTTTCTTTCAGATTCCCTTAGATTCTCTTAGATCCCTCAGATTTCCTTAATTTCCCCCAGATCCCTCCAGATGTTTTTTAGATTCATTTAGATTTTTTCACTTTCTTTACGATTCTTCTTTTTGGATTTTTTTTAGGATTATTCCGGGTTATTTTCGATGCTTTCGGGTTGTTTCACAGTCTTTTTAATACTTTCAGATTCGTTCGAACACACTGTCAGAAATCCTCAAGATCCTTTCAAATTCTTCAGTTCTATTCAAACCGTTTCTGATTCTTACAGATCCTTTCAGATTCCTGTAGACTTTTCCAGATTTTTCTAGATTCTTTGAGGTTATTAGAGATTCTCTCAAATTCTCCTAGGTTGCCTCAGATTTTCTCAGATTCCTTCAGAATCTTTCAGATTTCTCTCAAATTTTTCTTATGGTTGCAGTCCCTGCAGACTCCTCTAGATTCTTCCAGATTTTCCTAGATTCTTCTAGATTTTTCTAGATGCTTCTAGATTCTTCTAAATTTTTCTAGATGCTTCTAGATTCTTCTAAATTTTTCTAGATTCTTCTAGGTTCTTCGAGATTCTTCAAGATTCTTCGAGGTTCTGTAAGATTCTTTCAAATTCTCTCAGATTCACTCAGACTGCCACAAATTCCTTCAGATTCTCACAGATTCTTTTTTATTCTCTCAGATTCCCTTAGATTGTCTCAGATTATTTTGGATTCCTGCAAATTTTTCCAATTCTCTCAGATTCCCTTAGAACTTTTCACCTTTCAATTTTGTCCAGATGGGTTCAGATCCCTCCAGACTCTTTCAGATTTTTTCAGATTTTTCTAGAGATTTCTATATTCTTCTAGAATCTAGAAATATTAGAAAAAAACATTTTATTGGGCGAACTCACATAATTTGGATTTTTTAGGGAAAATTTCGTTGTCTTTAACAATTAAATCATTTTAACACAGAATCTTTTAAGGTGACTTGGTGGGCTGCTTAGCCAAATTTTGGTTAGCATATTACCACCTACATGGTGTTCCTAATATACATACAAAATTTGACAACAATTGGTTTTGTTGTTTCGAAGATTATCTGTCTAATAAAAATTGTTACAGAGACAGACGGAAACGGGGGGCCACTTTTTTCATGTTCTAAGAATAATGAAATGTCGAGAAAACATGAAATTACTCGGGATGTAAAATTAAAAAAAGTCCAAAAGATATTTCCAGTGAAATACAAATTCAATTCCAGATGAGAAGAAACATAAACCAAAAACACATGCAAACACTGAATATAAAAACACCAATTATAAATAGAAAAACATATAATTTATTTAGTTTAGATAAACCTAACTGTGCTTCTGTGTTCCACTTCTTAGAAACGTTCTTCGGAAACACAATATATACTGGAACGCCTTTTCCTGTGGGGTACAATTCACTTTACACGCTTCTGGACACTTGTTAACCAGATCTTCCACATACTTTCTGGGTAAACTCGGATCTTCCATTATTCGCCTTAAAGCATCTTTCAAAAAATTACCATCAGCGTCTTGAAGTCCATTTTGTTTGTTAACACAAAAGAGAAACTCTTTCAGATTTCCATCATTTTCTATGACCGCATTTGCGATAATTGCAACCGCGTAACTTGCATTCACATTGGATTCTTCAATACAGGATTTGTATTTGGATTTGAAGAGTTCTATTTCGTGATCAGTGAAGAACGGCCGACCCTGGAACAACGATAAAAATGTAGATAAAATAACAGGAAATGTGGTGAAAACCTTACAAAGGTACCAATCAGCGACACAACGAAGACTGAAAGTGCCAGTGAATACTTCATTTTGATGTAGAGTGAAGTGGTTGTCTTGAAATGGAATGGATGAATGAATGAATTTAATTTAAGGGGTTTTTATATTTAGACTGACACTTATTTAAACGCAATTATCGTTTGTTTTATCAGTTTTGATTTTTTATTTCCGAGGTTATCAAGTAAGTAGTAGCGAAAATAACCAGTGATGTATAAGGAAAACCACTACTATCAACAAATACTTAAAAATTCCCGACTCAGCTCCTCGAAACTTTCCTGTTTTACCCGCTTCATAAACACGATCCAATTAATAACGAAAAACACTTCATTAAAGCATTCATTTTCCTCGTGCGTCTCCCGAATATCCCGATACGCATTCAATCCCGAAAAGTTTGATTGGGTGGTATTATTGTAAAAGTTTTGGCCTGGCGCCTCCACCACAATATATCTTTTTAGTGAGATTGATCAAAACAAGATTAAGCGAGGTAACAAACAAAATCGCTGCAAAAAGTTGAGCTTTTAGGAAAATTTACTTCGGCCTACTAATGCAGCGCCGAATGTGGCCTGATTTATGCCAATTTTTCAAAGTTCGCTTTGGTTGTTCCCTTTGTCTGGCGATAAATTTACCCGGGTTATGGCCCGAGTTATGATGTATTTTGTTTCGTAAACAGAGGTCTTGCGAGGAGGGGAATTAAGCTATTTGTGGTGGCATTGACGGTCTGTGCCGGCTTTATGGCGAAAATATTTTCACTGCAATCCGACAGAATGTTTTCCGCTCTACTTCTGATTAATACTGAAAACTGGGCGTTTTAAGGCAAATAAAATACGTATTGACTTTGTGATTCCGGTTGCGTTTCCAGTGAATTTACAAGGGCTCTTATCATCTGATTAAAATCAGAGAGCTTCCGCTAATGAGCTTTCATCCTGCTAGCGGGAGAGCAATTTGTCAAAAGTAAAATTGCCTTAAACAATACAGTTAAGTAAAAATTTGGACTGTCAAAACCGAGCTGTGACTGTTATTATAAAAAGTCCTTCAAGATTTAGCTATTTCTCGAGTGACTTATAATCGATCGAGAATGTGTTTTCGCGTAAGAACATGCGATATTCTACGCTGTGTTAATTAAGGCCGAATAATTCCGGAATATTGTAAGTGAGAGCTAGTTTTGCATTATTTAGCAAATATTACACATAATTTTGCGCCACGTGTTGTGAGCTTTAATTGGTTATGAATTTTCAAAAGTTGTACGAATTTAGTGGGAGAAATAGGAACTAATTTTATTTATCTCGAAGTGGTGTTTTATAGTTCATGAAAATGGCTCTCATCGCGCTAAAACTGCTTGCTGATCTTTATCGTTTTGTGCTGGGTGAAATATCAACACAAAGTAGCTACTATCTCTACACAGTGGAATTTTAGGGAAGTTTGTTCGAACTTTTGGGTTTAGTTAAGCCTTTTTAATTTAAAGTTGTCTGTGTTGTTGGAATATTTTTTGTATTTTTAAATAAATAATTTTCTTAGATTTAGTTGTCAAGACGCAACGTGCTGTTATGGAAGATAACAATGTTAAGTTGGCTTTGAATTTTTTTACTTTGCCGCTTCGGTATGATGTCACAAAGAATTTAGAGTCCTAAGCTTTTTCTATATACTTTAGCCTGATAAGCAGGCAGCCAATAATTCAGCTCCAATTCAAGATCTGTTGTCCATTACAAACCAAAGGCCAAAGGCAAATCCTTACTTAAAATATAGTAACACATTTTCGATTTTTAGAAATTCCGATTCTAGGTTTTTCGATTATTAAATTTCTATTTTTAATTTGTCCGCTCTTCGAAATTCGAGTTTTCAATTTTTTTACTTTCGCTTTTCCATTTCTCGATTTTCAATTTTTCGATATTTCAAATTTTCAATTGTTTCTACTTTTCCCTTTTCCAATTTCTCATTTTTCCAATTTTTCGAATTTTCGACATTTCGATATGCCAATTTTCAACTTTTTTAATTTCGATTTCTCGAATTTTCAGTTTTTCAATTTTTCGACTTTTGATATTTCGCTTTTTGTATATTTTTAGATTTTCGAATTTTCAGCTTTTCGATTTTTCGGATTTTTGTTTATTCGACTTTGGAATTTTCGATATTTCAAATTTTAAATTTTCGTTTCTTCAATTTTCGTTTTTTCGAATATTTGATTAATAAATCGAATTTTTTATTTCTCTATTTTCAATTTTTCGATTTTTCGAATTTTCGATTTTCGATTTATTCATTTCTCGAAGTTCGAATTTTTATTTTTTTACTTTTCTCTTTGTCAATTTCCCGTTTTTCCAATTTTTCGAATTTTCTCTTTCTTCATATTCGAATTTAAATTTTTTTTAACTTCGATTTCTCTATTTTTCAATTTTTCAACTTTTCGACTTTTGATGTTTCGCTTTTTGTATATTTCGATTCTTGGTTTTTCCATTTTTTGAAGTCTGTTTTCGAATTTTTGAGTAATTTGGTTTTTCGATTTTGGATTTTTAGATCTTCAATTTTTCGGTTTTCCATGTTTCGAGTTTTTGTTTTTTCAATTTGTTCATTTATCGAAATTCGAGTCTTCAATTTTTTTACTTTTCGCTTTTTCCATTTCTCGATTTTCGATTTTTCGAGATTTAGAATTTTCAATTTTTTCTACTTTTCTCTTTTTCAATTTTTCGTTTTCTCGATTTTTCGAATTTTCGACTTTTCGATATTCGAATTTTCAATTTTTTTTATTTCGATTTCCCGATTTTTCTGTTTTTCAACTTTTCGACTTTTTGTATTTCGCTTTTTGTATATTTCGTTTCTTAGTTTTTTGATTTTTCGAAGTCTATTTTCGAATTTTTGATTTCTTGGTTTTTTCGGTTTTACAATTTTTCGGATTTTCGTTTTTTTGAATATTTGTTTAATCAAATTTTGGATTTTTAAAATTCAAATCTTGAATTTTCTTCTCGGTTTTTCGATTTTTAAATTTTTCAGTTTTTCGATTTCGTTGCAGGTCCTTAATTCCTTACAGATCTTTGTTGATTGTTCCAAATTCTTACCAGATTCTTCCAAATTTTTCTAGATTCTCTTAGCTTCTCACAAGTTCTCGAAGATTCTCTCATGTTATTTCAGATTCTTTGAGATACCTTCAAATTCCCCCAGATTCCTCCAGATTCCCTCAGATTCCTCCAGATTCCTCCAGATTCCCTCAGATTCCTCCAGATTCCTTCAGATTCCCTCAGATTCTTCCATATTCTTTCAGATTCCTCCAGATGCCTCCAGATTCTTCCAGATGCTTCAAATTCTTTCATTTTCTTTACGACTCTCTTCCTTCGGATTATTTTGGATTCTTGTGATTCTCTCTTTCGGACTCTTTTGGATTATTCCTGGTGCGTTTGGATGCTTTCGGATTGTTTTAGATTCTATCGAAATTTTCAGATTCTTTGAAACACACTTTTCAATCCACAAGATTTTTCCAATTTTTTTAGTTCTATTCAGATTGTTTTAGATCCTGAGAGATTCTTCCAGATTTTTCTAGATGATTTTAGATTTTTCTAGATTCTTCGAGATTCACCAAGATTCTTTCAGATCCTCTAAGATTCCTTCGAATTTCTTCCGAATCTTTCAGATTCCCACAGATTCTCTCATAATTTTCTATTTTTCAGATCGTTTCAAAATTCTTCCAGATCCTGTCAAACTTTTTAAGATGGCTTTAGATCCCTACAAACCCTTTCAGTTTTTCTTCAGATTCTTCTAGATTATTTTACAATCTTCTACATCTTCTACATCCTTTTACATTTTCTCAGATATTCCAGATTGTCCCAGATCCTTCATATTCTCCCAGGTTCTCTCAGATTCTCTTAGATTCCCTCAGATTCCCTGAATTTCGCCCAGATCCCTCCAGATTTTTTCAGATCTTTTCAGATTCTCTTCTAGATTCCTACAGATGCTTTAAGATTCTTTCATTTTATTTACGATTCTTCCCTTCGGATTTTTATGGGTTACTTTTGATTCTTTCTTTCAGATACTTTTGAATTTTTTGGGATTATTTGGGATGCTTTTGGATGCTTTCAAAATTTTCAGTTCTATTCAGATCATTTCAGATCCTTACAGACTTTTCCAAATTTTTCCAGAAATTTTTAGGTTTTTCTAGATTCTTCGAGATTCACTTAAATTCTCACACAATCTCTAATATTCTCACAGGTTCTATCAAATTCTCCCAGATTCCTTCAGTTTCCTTCAGATTCCTGCAGATCCTTTGCGAATCTCTCAGAATTTTTCGAATCTCCCAAAAATTTCTCTAAAATGTTCTCATGCTCTCTTAAATTCTCTCAGATTCTTTTAGATTCTTTCAGATCCTCTCAGGTTGCTTTAAATTCTTTCCGCATCTCTAAAATTCTCACAGATTCTATCAGAATTTTTCACCTTTCAGATCGATTCAAAATCTTTCCAGATTCTTTCAAACTTTTTAACATAGCTTCAGATTTCTGCACACTTTTCCAGATTTTTCCAGATTTTCGAAGTCTATTTTCGAATTTTTTATTTTTTGGTTTTTAAATTTTGGGTTTTTAGATTTTCCAATTTTCCCTTTTCCTGTTTTTCGGATTTTTGTTTTATCGAGTATTTGGTTCATTGAATTTTGGATTTTTTGATGTTCGATTTTTCAATTTGTTTCCTTCTCGATTTTTCGATTTTTCATTTTTTCGTTTTTTGAGTTTTGTTGCAGATCCTTAAAGATCATTGCAGATTATTCCGCATTTTTCCACATTGTTCCAGATTTTTCGAGATTCTCTTAGATACTTTCAGATTCTCAGGTTCTCTCAGATTTTTTCAGATTCTTTCGGATTCCTTCAGATTCCTTGAGATGTTTCAGGTGTTTTCCTAATTTCTCAGATTGAATGTCCCAGTTTCTTTCAAATTCCTTTGGAATCCTTCAAATTCCCTCAGATTCCCGCAGATTCCTTCAGATTCCCTGAGATTCTTTCAGATGCTCTCACATTCTCTCAGATTCCTCCAGATTCTTTCAGATGCTTCACATTCTTTCATTTTCTGTAGGACTCTTCTTTTCAGATCATTTTGAATTCTTTCAGAATCTTTCGAAAATGTTAAGATTCTCACGGATTATTCCGGATGCCTTTCGATGCTTTCGGATTATTTCAGATTCTTTCAAAGACATCTTCCGGAATCCACAAGATTCTTTCAAATTTTTTCAGATCTCTGCACACTCTTCCAAATTCTTCTAGATCGTTCCAGATTTTTCTAGATGCTTTTAGGTTTTTCCAGATTCTTAGAGAGATTGACTTAGATTCTCGCAGATTGTCTAAGATTCTCACAGGTTCTTTCAGATTATTTCGATTTCTTCCGATTCTCTCAGATTTCTTCAGATTTTTTGCGAATTTGACAGATTTTCTCAGATTCTTTTAGATTCTTTCAGATCCTCTCAGATTTCTTCTAATTCTTTCAGAATATCTCAAATCTCAGATTTTCTCAGAAATTTTCATCTTTCAGATCGATCCAAAATCTTTGCAGATTCTTTCAAATTTTGCTAGATTTTTCCAAATTTTGCTAGATTTTTCCAAATTTTTCTAGATTTGTTTAGATCCTCTTAGATTCTTTCAGATTGTCTTAGCTTTTCACAGATTCTTCCAGATTCCCTCGGATTCTTTCATATTCTTTCAGATTCCCTCACATTCTCTCAGATTCCTCCAGATCCTTCCAAATGCTTCAAATTCTTTCCTTTTCTTTACGACTCTTCCTTCGGATCATTTTGGATTCTTTCTGATTCTCGCTCCCAGATTCTTTCGAATTTTTTCAGATTCTTTCAAATACACCTTCAAGAATCCACAAGTTTCTTTTAAATTGTCTAGTTCTATTCAGATTGTTTCAAATCCTTAGAGATCCTTTCAGATCTCTGTAGACTCTTCCAAACTCTACTAGAATTTTCCAGATTTTTCTAGATACTTTTAGATTTTCTAGATTCTTCCAGATTCTCATAGATTCTTTTAGATTCCTTCAGATCCATTGCGAATTTCTCAGATGTTTCCTTATCTCCCAGTTTCTGTCAAATTTTCTCATTGTCTTTCAGATTCTTTTAGATTTTTTCAGATCCTCTCAGATTTCTTCAAATTCTTTCCGTACCTATCTCATAAATTCTCACAGATTCTCTCAGAAATTTTCACTTTTCAGATCCATTCAAAATCTTTCCAGATCTTTTCAAGCTTTTCAAGATAGGTGCAGATCCCTGCAGATTCTTCCAGATTTTTCCAGATTTTCGAAGTCTATTTTCAAATTTTTGATTTTTTGGCTTTCCGATTCTGGATTTCTAGATTTTCGAATTTTCGTTTTTTTCCATATTTGATTCATCAAATTTTGGATATTTTGATATTCGAATTTTATATTTGTTTTCCTTCCGTTTTTTCGGTTTGTTCAATTTTTCAAACTTTCGATTTTTCTATTCCTCAGTTTTTACACTTTTCAATTTTTTTACTTTTCGATTTATTTCTTCGATTGTTGAACTTTCGAATTTTCGATAGTCTCATCTTGCGAATAACCTATTCCTGCACGTCTTTTTACCATACACTATTATTATTTAAAAAATATATATTCTTTGAAATTTCCTGGTTTCTGGAGTTAAGTTAATTTCGAGAATAAAAGTTAAGTAATTTTTAAGTAGAATTACTTAGTTAACGTCATCAAAATTTTGTTGTGGTCTCCCAGTTTGAATTCAAATTTCGCGCATTTGAATAATTTCAATTTGGTGTAACGGTGCTAGTGTAAACACAGTGAAAATTAAAGGTATGTTAAATTTAATTTGTAGTTTAATAAAATAGCCATGTTTAAACGAAAATTAATCGTACCGACGGCGACGCCACAGTTTTCCCCACAAGCGAAATTGATTATTAATGGTTTTCTCGCCTGAAATGTTGTAAAGTTTCGCCGATGTCGACACGTGGTGTAATTTTTGTTTATTGTTTGTAAATTCATAGTTCCTGATTCCGACACAGTCATGAAATTGTTCCTATAAACCACGTGTTAGGAAATTCATTTATTCAGGCTTCACTCTTTTCATTATCAAGTTACGTATAACTAAAGTTTCTAAACTCATCTAAACATGATTTAACTTCTGTAACTTCTTGTTTAAACTTGATGATAGAATGTGGCTAATTTAATTTCTTGTAAATTTTTTGTGACTGAGCTCGGCTGTTTTGCGAAGACAGCGTAGAGAGTATAATATGCGGCAGGTTTTTTCATTGTTGCAGATTGAAGAAGATTTTGGAAAAAAAATTTTTGTGAGATAATAAATTAAGGCGGACTAATAAACCACAAGTACAGAATTAAATAGTAATTTTGTAGATTACGTATATAATAAAATTGTCAACGCTCACACTCAGGAAATTAAAATTAATATTATTTTGGTCTGTTAATTTGGTCCCTCTTCTTTATTATATTCTTACTAAAAAACAGGCGAGAAAGCAATTATGCGCTTCAGGAGTCCGTAACTTCAGGAACCGTCTCCTTGTGACAAATTAAACATGTTTTTTAGGGCAAACATACACGTGTTTTCTCCATTACACGGCTTCTTACTGCAGCGAAATCTTTTCATTCCTGTTTTCTAATTGGTTTTCATCATAAACTTTTGAACCAGTTCCTTCAGATCTATTTTGTAACCTCGAGTGGTCTAACCTTTTAATGAAGTTAAGTCATGTGTTTATAAATGCTTTTGGTGTAAATCAGGGGTCGAAATTAGGTCCGCTACATTTTGTTATATTTGTAAGGGATGTTGTTACTGTTGTGGAAAAATGTATGAGGGTATTTTACTTTCAAATTCAACCTTTAGAATATATATTTAAAGGAATTGTAGCAGATTAATCGAAATGAATTCGCTTGTTGAATGAGCAAAGAATTTTTATCGAACCCCCTTGAAACAACCCAAAAAACACTGAACTAATATTTTCCGTTATGATTCCCGTTGGCCTGCCGCCAAAAATGCAACCTCCTCCCATTCAGCCACTTAAACACCCTGTATTTGCTGACAGCCCGTCATAAATTCGTCTATTTTAAAATGAAAACTCTTTATACCCTCGCAGAAAATTACTATCCCATCTTAAACAAATTACTAGGAACATTTTAACATCCCAAAACACATAAACCCGTCATAAAACATTCAAGCATCCGCCCGTGATCAAAGGCGTTCGACAGGGCCCCACGCGAAGACCCTCTTGTTTACCCAGCAATAAATATCGCGTCCGAACATAAAAAGCTTAATTCGGCGTAAACAAACACAAATATGCAAGAATAACACTCGAATCTCCAGCCCCGGCAGCCTCCCAATTATTCCCCAACAAAAGGATAAAAACCCTTATCACTGATTCAAAACGGAATCGAACACACCTTGTCCTGTTAAACAGACGCAAGCGCGAGCGTCGGGACGCTGCTAGGGCTCGTCGAAAGCTCAGTTTCGCACGAAAGCTTGCTGTGTACGAGCGGCCGCCAGGAGCTTACGAGACCGAAAGCTCATGTAAGTTTCATGTGAATGCATGGGAATAACGCACTGGGGTTGCGGTTGCACACGAGAGTCGAGCAATCGACGGATCCCGCATTAAAAAAATTCCATTGTTACGGATTCATGGATTTTTTGCGCCGGATTCGTTCCGTTCGGACGGGCGCTTTTTGCGCAATTAAGGTCCGAGGGGGCCGATAAGGCCTTATCTGGGACAGGCGTTCCGGCGGAATTGATTGCGCTTGAATGGGTTTCCGGCGAATATGTTCGGGACTAGGAGTAATCCTTGAGGTGCCCCGTTCGGCATGAAATTTCCAATTCGGGCTCGTTAGACGGCGGATGGGGTTGTTGTGGAGGGGGTTAGTGAAGAGATAAGCGAGTCGTTAGAAATAATTTCTTTTTTATTACGGCGCGAGGGGTGGTAATTGCGGGTAATTTTTCAACACTCCTGACGATGTTCTGGACTTTCTCTTTACTGTTTATCTTTATTCGTACGTAATTTTTCTAAAGAGTTATGTAGCGTGTTTTTATTATATTTGCTCTGTTTATCGCAGTTTCCATTTTATTGTAAACACAGCGTTTTTTATTTCGTGGTTTTCTAAAAATACGGAATTTTTAAACGCAAACAAACACGAGAAATTTGACGGTTGATTTGGTTCAAAAATGCCATTATGTATTAAAAAAGGGAAAACGCGAAGTTCTTTTATCACGCTGTTCTTTAATTTATCAAAATCATTGAGAGATAAAAACTTGACTTCATTAATTTTATTCAGCACCCTTTGACGTTAACGATCTGCCTTCCAAAAAATTAGCTCATCTAAGAGAAGTTTTATCAAGATCTTGTTTCTTTAGGTGTTTTTAAGAATTTCTTATCTCCTTTTACACTTAGATCTCCGCTCACGTGTTAAATATTCCTTCGTTTATATTTTCCTGGCTGGAATTCGTTCTTGAAATGAATTCAGTAATTTGAAACTCGTTACTGTTTTATAAAATTGCAGAAAATGCTCGGATTATTTTATCATACTTTCTTGTCCTTGATCGTTCGTTTGTAACTTTATTAGCTTTTGTGCTTTGACCTTTAGTACGCTTTTTTTTTCATATTTTATTAATCTGGTGATAATGAGACTTCACACGCAAGTAGCAATTGCTCTGGAAAGAATTCCGGTTTTAAAGTAACCAGAAAAGCAAGAATTTATAGGACGTTTAAGTTCGACTATTAAAACAAACAGAATGTTATTGACTTTAAGAGAGTTAATAGTATATTGTTTGTCTTAATATTTTCTTAACGTTTTATTACCTCTAGAGTACGAAAAAATACGTCTTCCATTTCCGTTTGTCTGTTTATCTGTTTGTCTGCCGTCTGTCCGATGAATCCGTGTTGAATTTTCACACTAGACATCACATCCTTATTTTAACTCATAATTTTCCAATTGCTCAACTTGAGTTTTTGGCGATTTTTAAAGCTCCGTTTTATAGTTTATTTGTAATTTTCATTATTTCGGATTTTTAAATTTTTGATTTGTCAGTTTTTTGATCTTTTAATTTCTCGGTTTTTTTAATTTTACGTTTTTCGATTTTCTCTTTTTTCAACTTTCGATTATTCAATTTTTTAATATTTCAATTTTGGGATTTTTTTTATTTTTCCATTTTTGGATTCAATTTTTCGGTTTTCAATTTTGCAAATCTTTGGCGTACCTTTGATTTTTCGATTTCTCAATTTCTAGGTTAATCTAATTTTCGGTTTCTCGACTTTTCGATTCATCGATTTTTGATTTTCCCGTTTTACGATATTTCAATTTTTCAGATCTTCAATTTTCCAATTTTTGAAATTTTCGATTTATCAAGTTTTTGTGGTTCAAATTTTCGATTTTTTAAATTTTCGGGTTTTTCCATTTTTTGCGATTTACGATTTTTAAAATTTTTTGATTCTTCAATTTTCCAATGCATCAATTTTTCCACTTTTCGATGTTCAATTTGTCGATTTTTCAGTCTTTCAATTTTTCAATTTTTTGATGTCAAAGATTTTCGTTTTCTCATTTTCTTAAATTTTTCAATTTTTCCACTTTTCAGTGTTTCCGTTTCATAATATTTCGTTTTTTTGCAATTTTTCGATTACAATTTTTCATTTTTCGATTTTTTAGTTTCTAAATGTTTCAAGCTCTTGGTTTTTGTTTTTCATGTTTCTATTTAATATAACAATTTTTCGATTTTTCATTTGATCTATTTTTTCAATGTTTCTTTTGATTTTATAATTTTTTTGTTTCTTCCAAGTTGCAATCTATTCCCCGATTTTCCAATTTTTAAATATTTAAATTTTTCAATTTTTGGCGTTCCTAAGTTTTCGATTTATCCATATACAATTTTTCGATTTCCCGTTTTTTCTATTAATCGACTTTCCGACAAATTTGACGATTTTTCAGTTTTACAATTTTTTTTATTTTTTTTTTACAATTTTTTGGGTTCATAATTTTTCGTTTTTTCATTTTCTTTCATTTTTCAATTTTTCCACTTTTCAATGTTTCGGTTTCGATAATACAATTTTTCATTTTTCAATTTTTTAATTTCTGAGTTTTTCAATTTCTTGGTTTTTATTTTTTGATTTTTCGATTTTTAATTTTCATTTTTCCAATTTTATATCACAATTTTTTTTTTCATTTATTCCATAATGTTTCTTTCGATTTTATAAATTTTTGTTTACTCAATTCTTCAAATTTCCAATCTGATTTTTCAATTCCTCGATTTTCTTGTTTTTAAATACCTAAATTTTTCAATTTTTGGCGTTGCTAAGTTTACGATTTCTCCATATCCAATTTTTGGATTTCCCGTTTTTTCTATTAATCGACTTTTTGATGTTGAATTTGACGATTTTTCAGTTTTTCCATTTTCTTATTTTTTTTACAATATTTTGGAATCACAATTTTTCATCTTTTCATTTTCTTTCATTTTTCAATTTTTCCAATTTTTCCAATTTTAACTGTTTCGGTTTCATAATTTTTCAGTTTTGCACAATTTTGAACAATTTTTCATTTTTCAATTTTTTCTAGTTTCTTGTATTTTTCAAGTTCTTGGTTTTCATTTTTAGTTTTTTCGATCTTTAATTTTCAATTTTTCGATTTTTTACAATTTCGAGATTTTTAATTTTTCGATATTTTAGTTTTACGATTTTTGATTTTTTTAAATTTTTGGATTCTTCAATTTTTCAGTGCATCAATTTTTCAACATTTCAATTTTTCAATTTTTGGCATTCCTAAGTTTTAGAATTCTCGATTAATCGATTTTTCAATTTCTCGTTCTTTGGGTTAATCGACTCTTCGATGTTCAATTTGACCATTTTTCAGTCTTACAATTGTTCATTTTTTTATAATATTTTGATATTAAAATTTTTGGTTTTTTCATTTTGTTTTATTTTTCAATTTTTCCACTTATCAGTGTTTCGGTTTAATAATTTTGTTTTTTTTTTAATTTTTTCGATATTACAATTTTTCATTTTTCGATTTTTTTTATTTTCTGAATTTTTCAAGTACTTGGTTTTTATTTTTGATTTTTTCGATTTTTAATTTTCATTTTTTCGATTTAATATTACAATTTTTAGTTATTTCATTTATTCTTCAATATTCCGTTGGATTTTTTAATTTTTTGATTATTCAATTTTTCAAATTTTCACTCTCTGATTTTTCGATTTCTCGATTAATCAATTTTCGTATTTCCAGTTTTTTTTGTTAGTCGACTTTTTGATGTTCAATTTGACGATTTTTCAGTTTTTCAATTTTCTTATTTTTTGTTCCAATTTTTTAGAACCACAATTTTTCGTCTTTTCATTTTCTTTCATATTTCAATTTTTCCAATTTTAACTGTTTTTCATTTCTTCAAGTTTTTGATGTTTCAATTATTCGATTTTTTTAAATTTCGGGTTTTTTAATTTTTGGATTCTTCAATATTTCAGTGCACCAATTTTTCGACATTTCAATTTTTCAATTTTTGGCACTCCTAAGTTTTAGAATTCTCGATTAATCGATTTTTCAATTTCTCGTTCTTTGGATTAATCAACTCTTCGATGTTCAATCTGACCATTTTACAGTTGTTTTTTTTATAATATTTTGATATTAAAATGTTTGTTTTTTAATTTTGTTTTATTTTGCAATTTTTCCACTTATCAGTGTTTCGGTTTGATAATTTTTATTTTTTTGGCAATTTTTTCGATATTACAATTTTTCATTTTTCGATTTTTTAGTTTCTGAATTTTTCAAGTTCTTGGTTTTTGTTTTTTATTTTTTCGATTTTTAATTTTCATTTTTTCGATTTTATGTTGCAATTTTTATTTTTTTCATTTATTCTATTTTTTCAATGTTCCGTTCGATTTTTTAATTTTTTGATTATTCAATTTGTCAAATTTTCACTCTCTGATTTTTCGATTTCTCGATTAATCAATTTTTCGATTTCCCGTTTTTTCGATTAATCAACTTTTCGGTGTTCAATTTTGGATTTTTTGGGTTTTAAATTTTTTTACAATTTTTGATAGGTATCACAATTTTTGTTTTTTCAACTATAATTTTTTCAATTTTGTAATTTTTCTATCATACAATTTCTCATTCTTCGATTTTTTGGTTTCGGATTTTTTCAAGTTCTTGGTTTTTATTTTTCGTATTTTAGATTTTTAATTTTCATTTTTTCGGTTTTATATCGCAATTTTTCCTTTTTCCATTTCTTATATTTTCTCAATGTTTCTTTAGATTTTATAATTTTTTGTTTATTCAATTCTTCAAGTTTCCAATATCTGATTTTTCAATTCCTCGATTTTCCAATTTTTGAATTTTTCAATTTTTGGCGTTCCTAAGTTTTCGATGTTCGATTTGTCGATTTTTCAGTCTTTGTAATATAAAATCGAAAGAATGAATTAACAATCGAAAAATGAAAAATTCTAATACCTAAAAAAAGCAAAATTGAAAAAACTAAAGTTGAAAAAAAGAAAAATTATGAAACCGAAACACTGAGAAGTGGAAAAATATAAAAATGAAAGA